ACACCCAAACAGACTCAAATTGATCAGTTGTAGATTAATATATATATATATATATATAACAAAATATGGATATTTGTAAATAGCTGACCTTTTGAAGTTCAAATATATTAGCCTCAATTAGTTTGATTGAAGTTGCAAAAAATAAAACTTATAAGAAAATAGAGTTCTATGAGGTTGTGAATAGTATGCTTCAACATGTGATCAGGGACAATTTGTCGCGATCAGATCTAGCAGGTGATGGTCTCATCCTCCGCCATTGGAGAAGGAAAGGTAGGCCGGGTCGCAGATCCGGGCGGCGCGGAGGTCTGCGATGGTGGCGGAGCGAAGGGAGGAGTCGGAGGAGAAGGTGTTGAGGAAGAGGTCATAGAGGAGGGTAGAGGAGCAGAGCTTGTTGCCTTGGATCTGGAAGACAGTGGGTGAGATGAGAAGAAAGAGAGAGAGAGTAGAGTAGAGACAAAGAGTCAAATTTCTCTGATATATGTTTAGGGACCTTAGACATCAAAAAATAATTTTGTGGATTTCTTTCATTACGAAAAGTGGGAGAGGGACCCTAGACCAATTTTCCCTATTATCTATCTAAAAAAACTGAGCTTTATGGAATTAATGGTAAATATAATTTTTTAAACTAAAACTGTTCATTTTATAAAATAAAATACGGTAAGTTAATTTATATATTGATATCCGATTAAACTAATTTTTTGTATTTATATATTTTTTTTCAAGACCTATAAACGATTCAAATCACTATTATAAAGCTGCATGGGTTCACAAAAATGGAGTCTTAATGATTTCGGAGAATATGGAATTTTGAGGAGAGGTGAGACCTTTTCTGTTTGAGAGTATTTGACAACAGTTTTCAGCCTCCGTTTGGGAAGTGAGTTAGCTTTTTAACTTTTTGACCTTTTTTAGCTATTTTAGCCTAGGCTAAAAAGCTTGGTTTGGGAAGGGCTTTTTGGCTTTTTTGATTTTTTTTGTAAGATAATAGTGTAATGATTATGGGTTGCATATGATGTTTTATTTGTTGTGGTTAAAATAGCCTATTTTGCCTTTTGTGACTATTTTAGCTATAAACTAACTTGCCAAACAACACCTCAAATAGATCACATTGATGAAAAAATCAACAATTAAAGGATTAAATAAATCTAAAGTTTAAGGGCCAAAATGAGAATAAGTAAGGTTTGTTTAGTTATTTTAGTTGAGATTAAAAAAATATAAAATATAAAATAAATTAAATAAATTAATAAAATAAAATATTATATTTAAATTATAATTATTTCTTTTTTTTTCAAAAAAATCAACAAAATTAAAATAAAATAAAATAAAAAATAGATAAACAAACTTTTTGGTTCCAACTCCATAAGGTCAACCTTTACCAAATGACAATTACGCAGGTGCAAAGGGTAACTTACCCATCTACTAAACTAATCACCGCATCAATGTGTAAGAGCATTGTTGTTAGTACCTTATAAATTATTTTAGATTTTTTAATTTTTAGTTCTTTTTTTTTATTATAATAATAACTTTAAATAAAATTATTATAAGGAATATCATTAATTTTGGGACACCCTGTCTCACAATTAAACCTACACATTCACTATATCATGAATTAGGGTTTATGAGAGCATCTACATCCATCATCAACTCATCCATTTTTCCCAAATTCCACTTTCAAAACTTGTCCACCCTCAAAACCTTCAAAATCCTTTGGCAGCAATATTCTGGGGGTAACGGTGGTAATCATTTGATTACTTACATTTTTCCAACTATGACAATGAGTGAAAATTTTTCTGGTAATTACAACTCCATAAGGCGAGAGGAGTCCAACAAAGCTTAGAGCAAGTTCATAACTTTGATGTTATTCTTAACTCAGAGGAGATTGCCCTTGCAAGGGTAAGTTTCTTGAAAAAAATGACAAAAATAATAAAATATGTTTGTCATTTTTTCTGAACTGAATTCCTGAACATATGACCGAAATTCAGGAACACAGGCCCGAACATTGTTTATTTGTTCGGGAGCCTGTAACTGAACATTGATTTTGAACTTTTTGTGATATGGGATGAGTCCAGAATGAAAAAAACTCGAAGAACTTAATTGTTTTAAGAATTGGGAATCGAATATTTTAATCTCTAAAAAGTGATTGTATGATAGGTTAAGATAAGTAAAGTTGGTAACAACCATAAACAGGTTTTGTATTGAAATATCCCCTGAAAGATTGTTGTGGCTCAAATCAAGAGCTTGGATTTGAGAGTAATGAAAAATATCATATGGGAATTTGGTTAAATCGGTAAACACAATATTCTTTTTGTTCTTCTTCGTAGGTTTTGAAAAGGATGAGACTCTTTTTTTTTTTAATAAGTTTTGTTATGGTTTTTTGGAAGGAAAGTTTTATTGGGGATGTAGGTGTGTGCATTCAAAGGGTGAGATATTTAAGGATAATTTTGATATTATTTGAAGAGAGAAGAAATTTTAAAAATTTCAAAATTTATAAATAAAGGTCTAAAGGAATAGAAGATCAAAAATAATTTATAGGGTGATTGCATAATATACAATAAAACACTACAAATACTATAAATTGCATATAATAAAACACTACAAACACTATAAATTAATCCAAGGGTGGAGAATCTTCATGAAGACTTTTTATAATACTTCTTTCATTATACCTAGCATTATTGTTATAACGCCCTCAAAAAAGACTTAATCCAACCATTTAATAAATCCATAAAACATAATAGAACTATCATCTTTTCATTCATTAGAGTTTGTATTACGATGGATATTACATGTTAGCAACAAAATGAATGCCCTACGGGCTTACTGCTTTCCAAGTCATCACTTAGTTACAACAAAAAGAGCCCTAACTCTATACATAAAAAGTCTTAGGTTTGAATATACATTTAACATCAAACCGAATAACAAAAGGGCGTCTTCAACTCCAAAACCCAAGCTAAGATCTTGGAGGCGGCATATCACCTGTACCTAAAAAATGGTGTCCTAAGTAGGGTGGGTTAAAACCCAGTAAAGATATGCTAAACAACATATGAGAATTAATTAAAATATTAGCATCCGATAAATGTTTAGCACTTGAAAACCAAGTTACACTCTTTTCATAACCAATCAACATTGACATTCATATTTCAATCCACTTCCATTTATTTATCCAAATTAATTCATTAACATGGTTCATTTTTATCCAAACAATTTAAAATAAGATTACAACTCATATCATCAACACTTCAATCATTAACATCATTCAAATGTATATAAGATTTCGGGACTTTCATCCTGGACGCTCCGGCCAACTTAATTATCAATGGAGTCTATCCCTATCTTCTCCCAAACAATGTAGTACATCCCCTATCTCCTCTCAAACAATGGAGTACATCCCCTTTCTCCTCCCAAACAAAGATACATATATAATGTATTTAAACACGTTGTCACATACAATGATAAATTAAATCACATATTCAATGTGTTAATCCAACTGTCATATTTAATGACATAATTCAATTGATTAGTTTCAATTTACTTAATCATCATACAGTTTCTACAACAATCATGGCTATCCTCCATCGATAATCCAAAATAGTTATTTCTAAACAGATAAATAAATTTATCAAACAGATAATTTATTAACTTTTCTATAGGTGAGTGATTTATCAATCTAACTACACCGTTTAATCACATATTTTCCCAATTTCATTATTCCCAAGCCAATTTCATATTTTCACATTGATTTCACTCCTTAAACAAATAATTTATATAATGCAAATTAGGGCATTCTCTCTCTTTTCTCAAATGTTGCCCCCAAGGCCAAAATTTACCCATATTATACAAACAACCACATTTTCAAGATCTCACATACACATATGGAACCCAACAATAGGAACCCCCCTTTTATAATTTCAACTCGAACCCTAACTTCCCCCAAAATTCTCAAATCACACCATTTATACAAAATGACCAACATCTATGTTAAAACCCATATAGGAGAGTAGAATATCCCTACCTCAAGAAGAGAAGATGAGCCAAGTAAGAGATTAACTCCAAAGATGACGAAACCAACTTCTACTCGGATGAAAATGGAGTTCTTGAAGAGCTCAATCTTTTTATCAAAGGAAGGAGGGTGAGGAGATCACTAGATCTAGATCAAAATGTAGAGAGAGAGAGTATTTTAGAGAGAGATTCTCTCAACTTAGGGTTTTGGAAAGTTTTAGAGAGAGAAAGGACAGAAAAAGTGATTTAAAAAGTCACTTTAGCGATCTGATATACGCACAGTTCACTCGAGCGGAGAGTTTGACGCTCGAGCGTCAGACACATAAATTCGACCCGCTCAAGCGCAATAAAGGCCGCTCGAGCGCTAAGACACAACAGCAAAGCACTACCCGCTCGAGTGTAATGAGACCCGCTCGAGCGTAGAATACACTCACCCAATATTTTACAGGCTTCAGACAGTCACTCCAACGACAGAGGGCCCGCTCGAGCTCAGACTCGCTCGAGCGTAAAAAACTCTGTTCGAGCGTAAAAAACACATCTTTAATATTTTTGCAGGCGCACAAAGTACTAAATAATTGCAAACCCCGCTCGAGTACAAGAAAGTCCGCTCGAGCGGAAGATCAAAATTTTAGACAATAAAATTCTAAACTAAGGGTTGGTTTGGGATGTTCTAAAAAAGTATACTTTTTGACTTATTAGCTTATATGGGTTGGGTTTGGATTGGGTTTGATGTGATGTGTTAGAGAGGTGATGTGATTTAAATAAGATGATGTGACTTAAATAGGATAGTGACTTTTTGACTTTTTGTATTATTTAGGTCATGCCAAACTTGGCTTAAGTAATAATCAACCTATTCTAAACACCTCCACGACATTCAAAAATCTAAATTCAAAAGATAAGAAAAGAATAAGACATAAACAACGATATTAAACTACAAGACCTGAGCCCGAAAAGCATAAAGCCGGGTCAAAAACTGAGATCACTATAATTGTGGTATTAATATCACCACTCATATCTAATTCACGAAAAACGACGACGGATGGCAGTGCTCGTCCTCATTGCCCGAGTCTGAGAAAATTAATTGCATTTGTGAGGCAGAGGAGGGAGAGAGAGTGAGAGGGGAGAGAGAGAGAGAGATGAGTGCAGTATCGCACCTGGCGAGGAGGGCAGCACAGAAGGAGAGAGTGAGGATCCTGTACAGGAGAGCCCTCAAAGACACTCTCAATTGGGCCGTTCATCGTCATCTCTTCTACCAAGATGTATCTATCTATCATCTCATTCTCTAATCTCTAGGGTTTCGATCCCGCTTTGTTTATATATATAGGTTTTAGCTTGTAATCATCATGATCGATGATAATGGATGGTTGTTTGTTTTCAGGCATCGGAGCTCCGCGAGAGGTTTGAGGCCAACAAAAACGTGGTTTGTTCTCTCCATCGCACTTTAGATTTCCCCTCAATTACTCCTAGAAAATCTCATCTTCATGTACCAAATGGTTGTGATTGAATAATGTGCAAGCACAAATCATATTTTATCCTTGTTTATACCTATTTTTCCAGAATCTCACTTTGCATTACAGTGAACCTAGTGATTTCCTTTTTCTTTTTTTAAGACATTTCCTGGGATTTAAAGAGTACATTTATTTTGTGTATTAAATATTAGTTATCATGTCAACAATGGCTAGAACTATGTTACATGGACTTGATACGAGTATCGGGTGCGGGTCTGTATCCAGTGTCAGACCTTCATAAGCTAAGATATTAGGATCTTGGGATATGTATCTAACATACGGAGATGTGTTGTATATGCATATATATTGCATATTGTATAATATTCTCAGATGAGATGTTATAAATTATGTAGAAATATACTAGAAATTAAATAGTATTAAAGAAAAATATGAGATTTCTATATCTAATTCATGTGAGAGGCTAAAAATATTGCTTTACTAGCAAATGTGAGTCTCTTCATCTTCATATATTATAACAAGTTAAAAGATTTGACTATCTAAATTGGATACGGGTGCCGGACACATATTCCACAACTTTATCCTTGTCATATCCGGTGGACACAGGTATGTTGTGGGACATAGAAGAGTCCATGTAACACAGGTTAGAACATTAATCACCTGCAAGCACTTATATTTTCAGCAGTCTTACATATCCCTCTGTTTTACAGTGAAATGGTTCAATTGGAAAAGCTAAACTTTCACTAGTGGGTGCTGTAGCATTCGCCTATTGGGCATAATTTTATTGCTGCATTTGGAACAAAAATACTTGTTTAAACCCAAGTTGTAAAATGAGGAATTCTGGTACGAGTCAACCATATTACTCGGATAATGCAGGGAATGTTCCATTTGACCCACTTAATGTGGTGATATGACTGTATGGCTGAATACCAGTATGAATGATGTATTTTGCTAGTCAACATTGTGTGAAGCAGTGACCCAGAAGATTTGTAGCCTTTGGAGGCAGTGATTATGATAGAAATGATAATTTTATAACATCATGATGATTGCTTGAGTTGCTTTACTTTGCTAAAGTGTTTGGTTGTGTTTAAACCATGTATTTTACTATGTTTTGTGGTAATGCTATTCACTGCACATTGCTTGCCTTGGCGGTTTCCCAGGAAAATCTTGAGGCAATTGATAGATTGATAGCTGATGGTGAAGCAAGCCATAACAAGTGGAGGCACCCTGATCCTTACATTGGTAAGTACTCACACGAAGCTTTATTTCTGTGAGTGCATTGATGTTAACTACTTGATAGAACCCTTGATATGACACAAAGTGAATAAGAGGACAAGATACTTTGTGATTTTCTAAGAAATGCATGATTTGAGATGGATATATTTTGTTCATTTTGAAGATTAAATGCAGTAAAGTATTTAATAGTTTAACAAGCATCGAAGCTGATTTCTTGGCTTCTTGTTTTTAAGGGGTTTGCTAGAAGATAAATTTATTGTAGAATAGAACTATCCAGAAGATTCAAAAGTAACAGTTCAAGCCTTCTTTTGTAATCAATCATCTCATTAAGGTCAAGAAGAGATGGTCTTATGCTAAGAAGCATGGACACATAACACGACATGGACATGCCGACACAGGGGGACATGTGCAAAACATATAATCTTATATATTTGTCATGTCATATAAAAAGATAAATAATTATTATATGTCATATATATAAATCAATAATTTTTAAAAACTAAAGGAGGAGAGTAAGTATAAATTTATATTGTTTGTGGTTTATCATTGGATTTCAAGTTATTTTATTGAAACTTGAAATGTATTTCATATGTAGTGTTGGAAAGTGTCTAAAAAGTGTTGTGTCATGTCGGTGTCAGATATCATCTCTTCTACCAAGATGTATCTATCTATCTATCATCTCATTCTCTAATCTCTAGGGTTTCGATCCCGCTTTGTTTATATATATAGGTTTTAGCTTGTAATCATCATGATCGATGATAATGGATGGTTGTTTGTTTTCAGGCATCGGAGCTCCGCGAGAGGTTTGAGGCCAACAAAAACGTGGTTTGTTCTCTCCATCGCACTTTAGATTTCCCCTCAATTACTCCTAAAAAATCTTATCTTCATGTACCAAATGGTTGTGATTGAATAATGTGCAAGCACAAATCATATTTTATCCTTGTTTATACCAATTTTCCAGAATCTCACTTTGCATTACAGTGAACCTAGTGATTTCCTTTTTTTTTTTTTTTTTAAACATTTCCTGGGATTTAAAGAGTACATTTATTTTGTGTGCGCAAAAGGTATATAAGCATGTCTGCGCCCCCCATACGCGACAGACGAACATTCTGTAAGGAAATTCTTACACTCAAACACTCCTCTCTCTCTCCCTATCCTAAGGTGTGTGGTAACTTGATCATCGGAGGGTTTTTCCGGCCACACACCGCCGGGCAGCTCACCGTTATTTGCTCGCAGGTGATCGGACATAAACGGAGCTCGGAAGAAAGGAGTACGGGCTTGCCGGAATATTTGCTCCCCGTACAATTCTCAAATAAGATGTTATAAATTATATAGAAATATACTAGAAATTAAATAGGATTTACGAAAAATATCAAATTTCTATCTCTAATTCATGTGAGGCTAAAAATATTGCTTGTAAATTACACTTAGTACCCCTGCACTTTCATTAAAATCTCACTTTGGTCCCTTCACTTTCAATTATAACAACCTACCCCTGACACTTTATTTCATCCGTCTACCATTAACAAAGTTGACAAAATTTGTCATTTGAAGCATGTGACATTTTTGTTGTGTCATTAGCACCCTTGTACTTCTATTAAAATCTTACTTTACTCTTTACACTTCTACCAAAATCTCACTTTAGTCCCTCAACTTTCAATTTCCATCAGCTTTATTAGTGGTAGACGGATCAAAGGGTGAGATTGCAACTTGACTTAAAGTGTAAAGGGTTTTGTTACAATTGAAAGTGAAGGGATTAATTTTGGAAAAGGTGTAGGGGTTCTAAGTGTAGTTAGCCCAAATATTGCTTTGATAGCAAAAGTGAGTTTTTTCCTCTTCAAACATTGTAACAATATTGAGTATGGGTGTTGGACACACATATCCCATACTATTACCCTTGTCATACCCCATGGGCATGGGTAATTTGGTGGGAAATAGAAGAGTCCATATAACCATATTACCTTTTTTTTCTTTTTTAGATATTTCTTATCAACCATTTTTAATAAAGATGTAATATTACCATCTTGCCTTTTTCTTTTTTAAATATTTCTTATCAGCCATTCTTAATAAAGATAGTAACCAAATAGACAACTATCAATTTCTAAAGTAACAATAATTAACAACGATGTGGTTATTTGGACAATAAGGCCTCGTTTGGGAACATGCTAATTTAGTAACTTTTTGGCTATTTGGCTAAAAAGGTAGGTAAAAAAAACTTGTATGTTTGGGATGACTTTTTGGCTAATTACGAAAAGATGTGCAAAAAGTAGAGAGAAAAGAGAACCTTTGACTTTTTGGTATGGGTTGTTGGCTTTTTGGCTAATTTAGTAACTTTTTGACTAATTGGCTAAAATAGCCTCTTGCCAAACGAGGCCTAAGTATATATACTTTTCTAAGTAACAGTGAGCAAATAATAAGAAGGAATTATTTAGAATCTTTTATTTTAAAGCCTGAAACATTTTAAAAAGTATAACTGACCTCACACATGTGATATTCAATTTAATAAAATAGTAATGGATAATTTATAGTGTAACTTTTATCTTAAATATCTTTAGAAGATATATTATGATTTTTTAAAAGGAAAGAAAATGAGAAGAAAGGTTAAAAATATGTTGGGTCTAATTGGATCTGATTGGATCCTATTAAAATCTCCATGATCACTAAAATAACAATAAATCATGTATATATGTTGGTTATTTTGGTATTAAACGCTATTAAAAATTGTATTATACCATTGTCACTAAAAAGATGGAGAAAAAAAGAATCGAAAATATGTTGTACACAATAATTTCAAAAATTGCATGAATCGTAAAAAGTGAATCGAATCATGAATCGATTGTGAATCGTGCGATTCACTAGAGATTCACTTCCAAAATAGATTCACCCATACATTCGTACCGATTTTGCAAAAATTGCGAATCGAATCGTGAATCGAATCGCGAATCGTAAGATTCTGATAACAGAGGTTTAAACCCAAGTTGTAAAATGAGGAATTCTGGTACGAGTCAACCATATTACTCGGATAATGCAGGGAATGTTCCATTTGACCCACTTAATGTGGTGATATGACTGTATGGCTGAATACCAGTATGAATGATGTAGCATTCGCCTATTGGGCATAATTTTATTGCTGCATTTGGAACAAAAATACTTGTTTAAACCCAAGTTGTAAAATGAGGAATTCTGGTACGAGTCAACCATATTACTCGGATAATGCAGGGAATGTTCCATTTGACCCACTTAATGTGGTGATATGACTGTATGGCTGAATACCAGTATGAATGATGTATTTTGCTAGTCAACATTGTGTGAAGCAGTGACCCAGAAGATTTGTAGCCTTTGGAGGCAGTGATTATGATAGAAATGATAATTTTATAACATCATGATGATTGCTTGAGTTGCTTTACTTTGCTAAAGTATTTGGTTGTGTTTAAACCATGTATTTTACTATGTTTTGTGGTAATGCTATTCACTGCACATTGCTTGCCTTGGCGGTTTCCCAGGAAAATCTTGAGGCAATTGATAGATTGATAGCTGATGGTGAAGCAAGCCATAACAAGTGGAGGCACCCTGATCCTTACATTGGTAAGTACTCACACGAAGCTTTATTTCTGTGAGTGCATTGATGTTAACTACTTGATAGAACCCTTTAGAATGATATGACACAAAGTGAATAAGAGGACAAGATACTTGGTGATTTTCTAAGAAATGCATGATTTGAGATGGATATATTTTGTTCATTCTGAAGATTAAATGCAGTAAAGTATTTAATAGTTTAACAAGCATCGAAGCTGATTTCTTGGCTTCTTGTTTTTAAGGGGTTTGCTAGAAGATAAATTTATTGTAGAATAGAACTATCCAGAAGATTCAAAAGTAACAGTTCAAGCCTTCTTTTGTAATCAATCATCTCATTAAGGTCAAGAAGAGATGGTCTTATGCTAAGAAGCATGGACACATAACACGACATGGACATGCCGACACAGGGGGACATGTGCAAAACATATAATCTTATATATTTGTCATGTCATATAAAAAGATAAATAATTATTATATGTCATATATATAAATCAATAATTTTTAAAAACTAAAGGAGGAGAGTAAGTATAAATTTATATTGTTTGTGGTTTATCATTGGATTTCAAGTTATTTTATTGAAACTTGAAATGTATTTCATATGTAGTGTTGGAAAGTGTCTAAAAAGTGTTGTGTCATGTCGGTGTCAGATATGACATTATCTTCTTAGAAATGTCTGTGCTTCTTAGGTCTTATGTTTTTTTTTTCTCTCTCCAGTCATTCATCATCTCTCTTATTAGGGTTTCATTCTCCATAGAGTGAGATATAGTGACTTATTTATGATGATGTATAATCTTCATATGAGATATGGTTTAGGGTCTCTCCCCTCTGTTGTGCTGTGTACAGATGCAAACTTAAATCTCCATGCCTTGATGTTAGAGGTTTAACTGTTTAGCTTCTTAACTATGTTCTTTACTGTGTTATGTTTTGTTTATTTTCTGAATTTTTTTTTCCATCTTTTTAACTCTTATTTAAACCAAAAGTGATTATGTGAATTAAAACATAGATAAATTGTTGCATTTGGTGCTTATTATTGTGGCTGGACATTGTATCCACCTATGCAGTTTGAAAGCTCACCTGCCTTTTCCTTGAACAGTTCCATGGGCTCCTGGTGGCTCCAAGTTCACCCGAAATCCAACGCCGCCTGCTGGGGTAATTTATTTGAAAATTTCCTTGTTTAGTTTCTTTCTTATTTTCTTTAGATAATTTTCATTTTTTAGTTCCATTTGTTTGACTAGTCCAACATATGATTAACGAATAGCTTGATTTCTTCTAAATTCTGCATATTTGCTTTATTTAACTTTCATGAAAATTATTTTTATACAAAAAGATTCTGTGTATGAAATAAGATCAAGGTTCTGATGTTTGTGCATATATCTAAGGGTTTGCCTTCCTTCAGATGCCCCCTCTCCCCCCTCTCCCTTCCTCCTTTCCTTTCCCCTTTTTTTCAGTCGGAGGAATGCTTAGAACTGAGGGCATTGCATGCTGTCACATTATGTTGTGATGTATGCTATATTTTTGTGCATGTGCCATTCATTTAGGAGAGTGTTGCACGATTACATTTTTAGTCCCATGGAGATTTGTTCAGACAATTCATTGATGTCCTGAACTTTGAGATCTACTATGTTTGAGTTAGAAGGGATTTGTTATTTATATGGTAATGATGATTCGTAGACTTTTTGGTCGTTATAGTCTCCCAGGTGAGTTGGTAATTGGGTTCTATTTCTTTGTTACAGACTTCTATATGTCTCTCTGGTTCACAAAAAATTATTGTTATTAGATATTTTTAATAATTAAGACTTTTATTGTGATTAGTTCTTCTTCTTCTTTCTTTCTTCTTTTTTTTTTTTTTTTTTTGTTGATAATTGAGAACTGATCCTTGGAAGGGGGCCCTTCGGACTCACCCCAAGAGTACAAACTCAGGATATGTGCAACCACCGGCTAGCCTCACATATTGGTCTAAGTAGGACATCGGGACTCAAACCTAAGACCTCTTGGATAGAGCTGGGCAACTTGCCATTCGAGTTGACCATCACAAGTAGTAGGGTTAGTAATCTTGGTTTCCTACAAGTGCAACTGATACTGCTTTGACAGGCAATGCAATCATGAATGAAAACTTAACATTTGTCTATTTTCTCTTTGAGAACATTAGCATTTGCAAACAAAATAGCACATTGTTGGAAGTTTTTCCCCTTGTTTCTTTTGAAGAAATTTGGGCTTCTATTGTGTCGAAGTATGAGGTCTTTGCCTCTGTTCCCAATGTTGTCAAATGGTATCTGAGACCAAGATTTAGTCACACATGTATGTTACTTAAGCTAAGGATAGTGAAGTGTCTGAGGGTGATTGTTTAGGTATTCTTGGTGGATCGTATAATGCTAAAAGTCAAGGATAAGTTTTGGCCCATCTGAGGAGTATGATGCAGTAGTATTTTTCATTAAGAGGATATCAAAGATTCATAGCTCTTGTTTTTCATTGAAAGAGAATATTGTAGTGCTGAATGTTTGTAGTAAGGTGGCTATTACTGTAGCAATATTGTTCGCAATTACTGTTTGGCGGTGTATTGTTTGTGCTATTAGGAACATAATTGTAAATTTTTTATTTTTTATTTAAAATACTATATATGATTAAGATTGTATCTTTTTATTGACTAGGATTTGGAATTGTTAGGGTTAGTAGTCTTGGTTTCTTATGAATACAAGTTAGTGAAACACGAGTACTTCTAGATGGGAGTCAGATCTGTATCAGGACTCATAGATATGTATCCATATTTTAAAATCTATTTTGTTTAATTTTGGGAAGTGTCAGATACTTTTCAGGTCACGTGTTCAAAGTATTATGAAATTGAGATTATAATAATTTTTGCATAGCATTAGTATATAATTTTTAGGGTAAATGCAATAATTGCTTTTCAATACTTTGCTTACTTCTTAAGAAAGAAAATAGTGTAGGACCACCAAAGGTGGAAGGGGTGAGAGCTGAGGCGGTCCTAGTAGCAGCTACTGTCATAGCAAATTGCACCCAATAGGACATCTTTTCTAGATCTTCAGTTTTGTCGTAGTAGTGTTGATGGTCTCCACTGCAAGCAAATTTACTTTGCCAACCCGGCACATGGCGTTAATTTTTTATGTCAATTCATGGATGAGTCCATTCTGACCTGTACAGGAGTTGGCTTACATTTTATATCAATCGGCAACTGTATGTATATCCACAGGAACAACAGCAGCGAACCAAATTGTTACAGAGAAAGACTTCATTTTCTTAATCATGGTCTCACCATTTTTTTTTTTCTCCCCGTACATGTTATTTTACTTCATTCTTGTGAAATATAATGTCTTTATTTGTATGTTTCAGTAGAGTCAATAGTTAGCTGTCAGTCATGCTTGGAAATCACAGGCATTACAATCTGTTTCTAAGCTCTTTGGCCCGTTTCTTATTATTTTGATTTCTGATGCAGATTGAGATAATATATAACTACGGCCTGGAAGATCATATCGAATGATCCCTCTTCTTCCAAGACAATAAATAAAGGTAAAGCATCAACTGTCCATTTTGCATCATTGTTCTTTGCTGCACTTCAATGGTTGGCCATGGGCTGCAACCGTATGGGTTGTTTACTCGAACTGGTGAAACTGGGAATTAGTTTCTACATGCAGCATTTGGTTTTGGTATTCTTATCTTGTGCATTTATATATATATATATATATTTTGCTACAACCAGCCTTGTGCACAAGTGGTACCTCAGTTGGTCTACCAATTTCAAATATCTTTATTGGCCCTGTTTGGTAGCAGTTATAAGTCTACTTTTGTAGCTTATTTGCTCTAAAAAAAGTGAACTGATGGTGTTTGGCTGCAATTTTAAGTTATAATTTATTTAACTTGTATTTGCTTATTTGAAATCCTTGAATATATATGGACAAAAGAACCCTATCTTTTTTGTCTTAATTATAACTTTGGAGGCCATTCTGAATATATACACAACAAAAACCTATGCAACAACTTATTTAATCAAACAGGTTAAACTTTCTTCACAGATAATAAAAAATGTAGTAAACATACTACTTATTTTAATCGTTTTAAGCTAACAATGTAAAAACTATAGTCATAAAAGCTAGTTATGTGTGATACCAAATGGGGGCCGACGTCTTGCCAAAACACAGAAAATAAAAGGAGAGATGATTGTAGTCTGGTCCTATATCCCCTCCCGTTAAACATATGTTCCCCAGAATGATGATTGTGGAAGAATCTCTCTCTCTCTCTCTCTCTCTCTCTCTCTTGTGTAATTTCATAGATTCTGATATCGTGAAATTTTGCTGCTGATGCAGATCAAGGTACAAGATGGCAGGGGAGAATACTTGGGTCGTCTTGTTTGTGTCATTCTAGTTGAAGTTAGATTGTTTGCTTTGAACATTTTGAGAATCTCAGTTGTTGCTGAATTTGGTTATTTTCTTTGAATTGATAATCTGACTGAAGAAGTGTTTGCATGACTTCAAACAGAACTGATCGAATCACACTTGCAACCATCCTTTCCAATTTATTTGCCTTGCCCTCGTAAAGTTCTTTGAGTATTTATTATTTTTTATTTTGGGTCTTGAATTATATGGATGTTGAAGAACATCAGAGGAACAAGAGAATTTAATGGAAGTGTGTATTTCCGTGCACCTCCTGTTATTTTCTGAAATTGCACTCTAATCCAGTGGGTTAACAAATTTCTTTTCTTAACCAAAACGTTTAGGATAGATTACATTTTGACCCCTAAAGCATGCTTTATTATTTTATTTTTTTACTTTTATTATTAAATAAAAGATTATCTCAATTTAATTTTCCTAATATGATTCAATTACTAATTGTGGTGAACTCTCACAAAAAAAAATATGTAACATGGCGATATAGAAGGGATTGGTGGCTATTAAAAAGGGTAAAAGAAGGGTTGATGGCAATATAGAGGATATGAAAGAGCAATTTAGGGGTTGTTTGGAATGTCTTAAATAAGTGCACTTTTTGACTTTTTATGAAATATAGGTTGGGTATGGGTTGGGTTTGAAATGATGTGATAGAGAGGTGATGTGACTTAATGTGATTTAAATAGAATAGTAATTTTTTGACTTTTTGAATTTTTTTAAAAATGTCAAACTTGGCCTTAGTGGCAAAGATACAGAAGAACGGTAAATGAAAATGAAAAAGTGATATGTATTATGGTAAATTTACAGATAGATTGCACTCATTTGTAAATTTAAAAAAAAACAAATTTATTACCTTCTTGTAATTAAAACGGATTCCCAACCAATTACTGGATGAAACAATGCTATAGGGTCATAATTTTTGTGGCCATAACGGTTTAAAATTGTCAAAACGACGTCGTTTTGGCATGTTTTGCACAAAAAACGACGTCGTTTTGACAGTTTTGAGCCATTGTGGCCACAAAAATTATGGCCCTCAGACATTTTTCTTACTGGATGGGGGTGTTTGGTATGGATTATTTTGACCAATTTATAGATTCTAGTTTTAGAAAATCTATTTTGGATTGTTTGATTAATATTTGGTCGATTTGATTAAACTTATTTCAAGCAGCTTCTGATTCTAATAACATATTTTAACTTAAAAAAATTGATTCTAACAAGTTGATTATCCCTACTTTTGATTATTAGCTTCTGTTGTGGTAATATTAATTTAAGGTTATACTCTTAATTTTTTATTTTTTTATAATAAAAAAAGGACCCAAATGGATTATGGATTAATTTTTTATTTTATTTATGAGAAATACGCACTAGTAATAAATAACAAAAAATAAAAGTTCATTCAATTTACAATTAATAAAGGTTAATTCAATTTACAGTTAAAAGGGGTAAAAATGACATTTAGACACCAAAAAACTATTTCATAGCTTATTTACCAAATACTATTTTGTAATTTAAATCTATATTCTAGCAGCTGTACCAAACAGATTAACAATTTCAGATTAAAAGTATAATCTATAATCCGTTAAACTATAATGTATAATCTGTTTTAATATCTGTAACAAACACCCCCAATGTCACTTTATTATCTCATTTTTAAGGCCATGTTTGTTTACCGACGTGGTGGTCAGATTGGATTGTTATGGCTGTGGGTCCCACCCACAGCTTGTTTGGTGATGACTTGAGAGAGGAGATTGATAGTGCAAGGGGCTTAGTAAGAGATTAGCTTGGCTGAATTTTGGGTGAGCTTAGTAAGAGATTAACAATCTCTTTATTAATCATCTTCTCACTAATAATCCCATTAATCAGCCAAACAAATGTAGTCTAAAGTGGTATGGGTTAGATCGCTTAACTATCAAAATTATTTTATTTTCACCTTTTAGAGTAGGGTGTTTGTACAATTTTTAATAGTTGAGTTTTAATATGTGATTTTAAAATTGATATACCATAATAATTGAAAGAGTAAAGTGTAATCAATATATAATATTTCACAACAAATTACGATTTAAATGTTTCTTATTTTAATGTTTGAAAAGGGGACGTGGATATAATTTTGAATAAATTATAAATATACTTTTTGAGATTTGATTAAAATACAAATCACTTTTTATAGTTTTAGAAATTACATTCTACCCCTTGAGATTTTTAATTTCATAACAAATCACTCATTTTATTAATAAATCATCAAATCAATTAACAGTTCTTAATCATGTTAGAAATATGTTTCAATTAATAATTTAGGTAATTTTATTATTGTATAAGAGAGCAATTATGAATTTCATTTTTTTAGTTAATTCTATTAGATAAAAAATTCTAATAATGGGTATTTGTAATTTTTCAAACCACATGAGACAATTTGTATTTTAAGCAAATTTTAGAGTGTGTATTTGTAATTTATCCGATAATTTTTAAGGTAAATTATGGGAAATTCTATTTCAACACACTTAATTATCTCAATCCACTTCATTTCTCAAAACACACACTTTATAATTTAATTAGTAATTAGTTTTCTCAATATACACGCTAAATGTATCAATTATACCCTTCACTCATACTATTGTACACACACTCGTTCAACCCTCCTTTCACACACTTGTCCCTCATTCCACACACACTGCTCCTGCCACAGTTTAGAAATTTGTGGACCCACAGTGCTACAACAGTCAAAGTGAAAACCTACAATAAAGAACTTTGCTCTATTGAAGACCTCCATTGACAACACCATTGAAGAGACTCCATTGCATTGTTGAAGATAAGGCATTATTACCAACAAGGGTTGGTTCAGTTGGTAAGGCTTGTTCCCTTCGCCCATTTGGCTTAGGTTCGAGTCCCGCTGCCGGCAGTCCTTTGTTGGTGGGCAATATTGCGTAACGCTTTCTCTGGCCCTGGAATGGGGTAGCCTCCCCTCCTCCTAAACTTTTTTTTGAATCAAAAAAAGAAGATAAGGCATTATTCAATTTTGTTATTGCATTTATCATTTTGTTATTGCATGTACCATTTTCAGACATCTGTGGACTCCATTGCCATCAAAACCGTCATTTTTTCTTCCATTTTTCGCGAGTTTGAGCTTCGGCTCTGGTCTTCCGAAATTAAGAGCTTATTTCGGAATTTTATTTCCGAATAATGTTTGCTAATTCTCTGAAAAAAACCAAAAATATCAATGATTGTATTCCGAATTTGACAAATTAATTTGGTTATGTAGTTCCAAGTAGAAAACCTAACAAACCTTCAAACTCTAAACAGAATTGAGGTTGATGACCCAATGGAATTTAATTGATTAAGGGATTTAATCAATATTCGCAAGCTTTATGTAAAATTGAATGGAGAAAGCAAGGGGTTCACTGTAGATTCTATTGGTAGATTAAGAAGCTTCCAAACATTATATCTATTTGCGAGTACGGACATTGTTTAGAATCCTACACTGCAACCAATTTCTCACTGCCATCACCTCCTCCAATTGAAGTTACATGGAAATATAGGAAACCTACCAACAGAGATGCACGAATTCTTACCAAATCTCAAGTACCTCTTCTTGAATGGATAGAGCATGGAAGAAGATCCTATGCCATCATTTGAGAAGCATCCAAAGCTGACAATTCTTGACTTGCTTTGCTATGGAGTAAATAAATTTGTTTGCACTGTAGGAGGGTTCCCTCAACTTGAAATTTTAATTCTTTTGGAGTGTTCTGTACATTGAGATTTCTTTATTCTTAAACGATGTGTATAAAAAAAAATTCATATAATTTTATGGATGTTACTAGATGTTTATTATGATCATTTTTATTTAGAATATAATTGTCATTAAATTAATATTTCATTAAGTGTGTGCCTTGAGTTAACAATGGGTGTAGAAATAGAATTTTTCGTAAATTATACTCTTTTTTTTTTCTTTTCATATTTGGTTATATTTTCACTTTAATTCTTAAAGTTTTTCTTTTATTTTTGTTTTTATTTCTTTCTTATTCTAACCCTTTATATTTCAAATTTTTTCTAATTTATTTCAAAAATTAACTTATATCCAAAATTAAAAAGAAAATGACACATTGATAGTCACACAATATAATATATATAACTTATACCTTTGACACAAATTTAAATCTTCATATAATAATATTTTTTTATGTCATATGACAACTAATGTAATATTTTTTAAAAAATTTTAAACAAAATTAATTTTAAAAATAAACTAAAAAAATTTAAAATGCTCCTATAAAAGATCAAAGTGAAAAAAAAAAAAATTAAGACCAAATTAAAAAAAGAGTTTTTATTGATAAATCTCATTTAGAGGTGTTCCAACTCAATAAGTCTACCAAGAAAAATTATAACCTAATTAGTCCCATGTATTTATACTTTTATTTCATGAGGTCTTTTTTTCCTAATTTATATTATTTGTTGGACTATTATACCCTTATATCTATTGTTGATATGTATTATATAGAAAAAAGATATACACATTTCCTTTTTGTTGCTATCTCTATTTTGGTAGTTACCATTATTCACGTTTTCTTTTTGATCAGTTTTATTCACATTTGTGGTATTGTTTCATTATGCTAGAGTTTCGAAACTCGCTATTTCGTAAAGTTTAAAAACTTTAGTTTACACATGGTGATGAAATAATATTATATTCCTCTATTGTCACTTTGTGTTTGAAATTCTGTGTTCGTTCATTGTTGCTTTGTATTCAAAACTCTATGTTTTTTCATTATTGTAAGACGAAACTTTGTTTATGTCCAATCAATTTTGTTACAAACATAATATTCAAAGGTGAGTTTGGTTTGATTTGAATGGGTGGAATGGTGAAATTGCATAAATTATTAATGATAGTGATAATGATAAAGATGATGATGTGGATGATATTTTTTTATTTTTAGAGTGATTGAGTTTTTTTTTTTGAATTTCTAATTCTATTGCTACCATTATTTCTATTTTTTTGTCAATCAGCGTAAATGTTCACATTGTTTAAAATTTTGAGAAATAAGTAGACATGGACATAATTATATATTTTACACGATGTGAATATTCACGTATCATTGGTTATTTGTTACTATACTTGTTGTTTAAACAATCATTTTTTTGTTGCCATTAAGCGATTGAAATAGTCAATTTTTAGGCGAATTACACTAATCGTCCTTATAGTTTGTAACTTGTGTCACTTTGGTCCTTAATGTAACGCCCTCAAAATAAACTCATTATTCATACATTCATGATACAAGAAATTGATAATACATTCAAGAGAATAAAGTGTACATCTATTTATCAGAGTATTTATCACAAAAGTATTACATGTTGACAACAAAAATAAATGCCCTACGGGCTTACAACTTTCCAAGCCAACACTTGGTTACAAAGAAAAGGAAGAGTACTAACTCATACACATTAAGCCCTCGGCCTGAATTTACATGTAATACACAAAAAGGTAAACAACAAAAAATGATTCAAGATAAGAACTTAGATGAAACCAAGTAACATAAATTGAAAAATTTAAAGAATGTAAAGATCATAAAAAAAAAAACAAAAAAAAAATTTAAATAATACCTGAACGCGTTGCTTTTTCTTTCTTGAAGTCTCCAATGCCTTTTCTAAGCTACTTTTAATCCGTCACCTTCCACAAATGGGGTCAATCCTTTTCTTCAGTCCCTTCGCTTGAATGACATTTTCACTGCCCTCATTCATTCTCATTGTAGAGCTAGCATCATTTAAGTTTAGTGGTCCATTGGTGATACGTATACGCAACTTATTTTGAACAAATGCGAGCAATTTTTTCCCTTCCTGAACACAATCTTCATATGTTTCTTCCAATTCAGATGCCTGGGATGAAATCATAGTAAAGAGGGAGCACAATGACTTGTATCTGCTGCTCTGTTCCAACTTAGGGTCAGCTTGAATATCGCGCCCTTTGTAATCTTGGACAATTTCAGCTCTTGCTAATTTGGTCCACCTTTTCAGGATATATTGGCTTGGAATTTCCATTATAATCATTTCATCTTTAAGAACCTTAATAACATGACTACACAATATTCCTTTCATCTCAAACAACCTACAAGAACAAGACAAATTACCATCTTTGTCTTTCTTCACTTCACGCATTGTAGATTGTCGATATGCTTTGACAATATAAACCAAACAATCATCCTTGTGAACACAATTTGCTACATATAACTCAAGTGAACCCACATATTCATCTTGAAATTCTTCAAAGATAGTTTTTGTGTAAACATCTCCTGCCTGAGTCAACATCAGAACTTGGACTTTTATCCTAGGCAACTTATATAACAATGCATACTCAGCTTCATATTCCTTATATCGCTTCTCATTAAGCACCCTTTCAAAGTGAATGAAAAATTGAATCAAATTGTAATATGATCTCAAGTACTCTTTCAAATCAGCATTTAAGCTCTCACTAAGTTGTGTGCTCTTCATCCCTGCTGACCATGTCCACCTAACATATGCCCTAACCCATTTTTTCCTTAAATGAAAAATGCTTTGCAGCCATGAATTATCATGAACATCAAACTCATATAACATAGCATTCCAAGCTGCAAAAAATTCCTCTTCCTCCTCATACTCATATATAAACTTTCCCAAAACACTTCTTACCCTACCAGGACCGCTAAAAATGCCACTCATATGTTTTACGGCATTTTGCATCATATGCCATGTGCATAGCCTATGATATGTGTTAGGCATCACATATGAAATAGCCTTAGCCATTGCGGCATCCTGATCTGTGAAAATAGTTTTTGGATGTTTATTTGACATTGCCTCTAAAAATGCTTTAAACAACCATATAAATGAATCGGTTGTTTCATCATACATCAATGCAGCTCCAAAAACAATGGTCTCTCGGTGGTTATTGAAGCCAACGAAAATAGCAAAAGGGCAGCTCTCTCTATTAATCTTGTATGCTGTGTCAAATGTTACAACATCCCCAAATTGACCGTAGTCAATTATCATTCTAGCATCTGCCCAAAAAATATTTGTTATTTGCTCTTCAGTATCCAACTGCACAAAATGAAAGAATGAAGGATTTTGTACCGTCTGATCTTGAAAATACTTCAATATGCTCCCTACTTCACCAAATTCCAACATTCTTTGTCTTTTTGTTCTTAAATAATTCTCTTGATCTTTTTTCAAAAACCCAACACATTACCTTCCACCTGCCTCTCTACCCATTAACTCATAGGATGACCTAAGAGGTATCCCACAGTCATCTGCTAAATCTATTTCAATATATTAAGAGGTGGGAATTTTTCTTTGGGAAGGAAGCATATGAGCACATGCACTTACTACAAGGGGATGGTTATGTGTTTCTACAAAATTGATAACTCTATACTTCCCAATTTGCCTAATTAATTTAATGCTCATCAAAGCACCACAACCGGTCCTTGTCTCCGCCCTAGGAATCCTTACAGCAAAATCTCTTTTATCATATTTTCTAAGACCCTCCTTAGAACAAACAAATGTCCTTGAAGTAATTTCACTGGTCTTACTTTTATGAGCATATTCTTTTCTAATACTAAATCCAACTCTTCCTCCATAAGAATTATAAAATTCATAAGCTGATTGTTCAGAGTCAAATTCCATACCTAATATGGATTTACATTGTGTATCATCCTCGCCATGAACATCCATTTGGGTAGCAATTGTTAAATCATCAATCTTCGATATATCCAATACCTAAAATGCAAAACAGTAAACATGATTTTTTATCTAATAAATATGTGAAAGTAGTACGTGGTTTAATGTTCTTAAATGATATTGAGGCTCTGTTTTACACATTAATGTTCTATTTCATACTATCTACTAAATCAATTTTTTCTTTTTCTAAATATTTGATTTGTGGAAAAATGATTGTCTTCTCCTAAATCAATAGAAAAACTTTACAAAAGTATCTAAAAGCCTAACCTTGATTGATATGACAAATTTGTTTCTGCTTAAGAGTGAAAAAAATCTTTTCAGTGAAATATGAGCATCATATACATACCAGATTTTAGGTGGGTTTTCTAAAATTACTAGATTTATGAGCATCATATATAAATGAGCATATATTAATGAGTTCTCAAACTGACAGACTATTGCTAATCTGTTCAGTGAAATATATAAATGACATTTATATGTGCTCATTTATAAATGAACATATATAAATAAGCATGAAAACTATTGCTTCTAGATTTTAGGTGGGTTCTCAAACAAACTAGCAAATATATATATATGAGAATCTAACTTCCAGATTTTCACCATGATTCACACCCATGTTTGCAAGTCCATGATTCATTGAGGCATTTCATCATACACTTGGAATGGATTTGAACCAAAAAAAAAAAAAAAAAAACGAAAATAAACTACTACAAATCTAACCTTTGGTGTTTACAATTGTTTGGGTAAACAAAGATTTTCAAATGATGGAGTCCAAGGATGGCGAAGCCTTCTACTGTCGATTGATTATAAATGGAAAAAAAAACTGAATCATAGATAGGGGACTGGAACTGAGAAAGAGAGAGAGAGGGAATGAGGGATTGGGTTCTGAATTTATGAAAAAGGCGGGAGAAGGGATCTGAATCTGGATATGTAATTCAAAATAAAAAATAAAAAAAAACTTTCCGTTACATACCTCCATCTAGCCAAACGATAGAACTTGGCGTCGTTTTGTTTGTTTCTTGAGCATCACAAACGTGGCTCCCTTTTCGCCCGTCGGATCTGTTGTCGCCACGCGTCTCCATTTGGCGGAATGGATGGAGGGAGCCGGACTGTAAAGCGCTGGAGAGGAGGTGAATCCGCTGAGAATTATTGACTTGCTTTGCTACGGAGTAAATAAATTTGTTTGCAGTATAGGAGGGTTCCTCAACTTGAAATTCTAATTCTTTTCGAGTGTTCTATACATTGAGATTTTTTTGTTCTTAAACAATGTGTACAAAAAAAAAATCGTATAATATTATGGATGTTACTGTTGGAAATGATAGAAAAATTCTGGGTAAAACCAGAATTTTTTCTCAAGTATGGTCTATTTTTTAGGTGAGCCCCGAGTGTCGATTTACTCAGGTCAAAGTGGTAACGCGTTCTATGCCGCGTTGTGATTCACGTGGTATATTTGGTTGCTCAAAACCATTACCGAGTGAATGGGAAATTGAAGCCAAAGTGTGCTCCATGGAAATGGAGTTTTGGTGGAAATTCCTTAAGGGACTATAGCTCGGCTGTTGAACAGTTAATCCCTATCATGCTATGCAGATGGAATTAAGGGGCAATTGAGAGGGTAATTTATGTATATAAATTGGGCCGAGCTGGGTGTTGGGCCGAGATTGGTTCAAATACGAAAGACAGTGGATACACCAGTCAAAAGGAGTACTACGGTTAGTTCGGTTGTCAGATAGGCTTGGGAGCAGCTCAGTTGCGGCATATTACGGACTAGCCCGGTCATCTCCTCTAACCAGAGTGAGAGAACCGTCTTCAGGGAAGTTTGAGTAATTTCGGCTTGACACTTCTATGGATAGCTCGGTCTTAGCATTCGCAGCCGGGATAGAAGCAAGGAAGGGAATAGCCGAACTAGTAGTCAGATCGGCCATACCTGCCTGTATAGTATGGTAGTGTTATTCCGGTCGTATGGTAGTTCGGCCATGATAAAAACCATCTCACTTGGTTTAAGCAGTGAGGGGGGTGTTAAAGGATAAGTATTATCTTACAGGAGTATGAATCCTAAGAGGACTCTACATGGAGGAGTAGAAGTCCTACTAGGATTATGCCACGCGAAACCTATAAAAACTCACAAACATCACCTTGGGTGAGGTAACACACAACTTTGCTTTTTGAATACACAGAGCTTTTGTCTATTTGTCAAGCTTACTGACTTAGGCATCGGAGAGGTTTCCGGTACACACCCGCCGGCTAGCTCACGTTTGTGTTTTCAGGTGATAAGGCGACGTCGTACGGAGGAGCGCAGACTTGATCAACAGAATTATACGAGAAGGTGTATTTCTTTCCCGTACATTAATAATAAATAAACAATCAAAAATCAAAAACATAAAGCAAAAAAACTAACTTGAGCATAACTTTAAAATTTTAAATATGAAACTTTATTCATTTTTAGTTGTTTTACTCTCAGTTAAGAATCAAAATTATTTGCATTGTGATAGATCATTATGATCTTAACTCAATATTACCCCTCCTAAGATGAAATCCTAGTTCCGCCACTAACCATATAGCATATGGTATGTCAAATAAAATTGAAGGCTTGGGTGACGATTTTTTTTTTTTAATCAAAAAGAAATTTTTATTACTGAAGCCAAAAGACACTTACAGAGAGGAATCTATCCAACAAATAAACTTACACCAAGCAAAGAAAAATCAAATCAAAAGCACACAGGAGTAAAATCTATGAAAAATCCAAACGCACAACTCCTGCTTGTGCTCGTACTGTAAAACAGAAGTTAAATGGATAAATTACAAATACAACCCTTGAGATTTTATTAAAATACAAATTGTCCCCTATGCTCTGGAAATTACATTCCACCCCCTGAAGTTTTTAATTTCATAACAAATTGCCCCTTCTATTAATAAATCATCAAGTTATTTAACAATTTTTAATGATGTTAGAAATATGTTTCAATTAATAATTTAGGTAATTTTATTATTGTATAAGAGAGCAATTATGAATTTCATTTTTTTAGTTAATTCTATTAGATAAAAAATTCTAATAATGGGTATTTGTAATTTTTCAAACCACATGAGACAATTTGTATTTTAAGCAAATTTTAGAGTGTGTATTTGTAATTTATCCGATAATTTTTAAGGTAAATTATGGGAAATTCTATTTCAACACACTTAATTATCTCAATCCACTTCATTTCTCAAAACACACACTTTATAATTTAATTAGTAATTAGTTTTCTCAATATACACGCTAAATGTATCAATTATACCCTTCACTCATACTATTGTACACACACTCGTTCAACCCTCCTTTCACACACTTGTCCCTCATTCCACACACACTGCTCCTGCCACAGTTTAGAAATTTGTGGACCCACAGTGCTACAACAGTCAAAGTGAAAACCTACAATAAAGAACTTTGCTCTATTGAAGACCTCCATTGACAACACCATTGAAGAGACTCCATTGCATTGTTGAAGATAAGGCATTATTACCAACAAGGGTTGGTTCAGTTGGTAAGGCTTGTTCCCTTCGCCCATTTGGCTTAGGTTCGAGTCCCGCTGCCGGCAGTCCTTTGTTGGTGGGCAATATTGCGTAACGCTTTCTCTGGCCCTGGAATGGGGTAGCCTCCCCTCCTCCTAAACTTTTTTTTGAATCAAAAAAAGAAGATAAGGCATTATTCAATTTTGTTATTGCATTTATCATTTTGTTATTGCATGTACCATTTTCAGACATCTGTGGACTCCATTGCCATCAAAACCGTCATTTTTTCTTCCATTTTTCGCGAGTTTGAGCTTCGGCTCTGGTCTTCCGAAATTAAGAGCTTATTTCGGAATTTTATTTCCGAATAATGTTTGCTAATTCTCTGAAAAAAACCAAAAATATCAATGATTGTATTCCGAATTTGACAAATTAATTTGGTTATGTAGTTCCAAGTAGAAAACCTAACAAACCTTCAAACTCTAAACAGAATTGAGGTTGATGACCCAATGGAATTTAATTGATTAAGGGATTTAATCAATATTCGCAAGCTTTATGTAAAATTGAATGGAGAAAGCAAGGGGTTCACTGTAGATTCTATTGGTAGATTAAGAAGCTTCCAAACATTATATCTATTTGCGAGTACGGACATTGTTTAGAATCCTACACTGCAACCAATTTCTCACTGCCATCACCTCCTCCAATTGAAGTTACATGGAAATATAGGAAACCTACCAACAGAGATGCACGAATTCTTACCAAATCTCAAGTACCTCTTCTTGAATGGATAGAGCATGGAAGAAGATCCTATGCCATCATTTGAGAAGCATCCAAAGCTGACAATTCTTGACTTGCTTTGCTATGGAGTAAATAAATTTGTTTGCACTGTAGGAGGGTTCCCTCAACTTGAAATTTTAATTCTTTTGGAGTGTTCTGTACATTGAGATTTCTTTATTCTTAAACGATGTGTATAAAAAAAAATTCATATAATTTTATGGATGTTACTAGATGTTTATTATGATCATTTTTATTTAGAATATAATTGTCATTAAATTAATATTTCATTAAGTGTGTGCCTTGAGTTAACAATGGGTGTAGAAATAGAATTTTTCGTAAATTATACTCTTTTTTTTTTCTTTTCATATTTGGTTATATTTTCACTTTAATTCTTAAAGTTTTTCTTTTATTTTTGTTTTTATTTCTTTCTTATTCTAACCCTTTATATTTCAAATTTTTTCTAATTTATTTCAAAAATTAACTTATATCCAAAATTAAAAAGAAAATGACACATTGATAGTCACACAATATAATATATATAACTTATACCTTTGACACAAATTTAAATCTCCATATAATAATATTTTTTTTTTATGTCATATGACAACTAACGTAATATTTTTTTAAAAATTTTAAACAAAAATTAATTTTAAAAATAAACTAAAAAATTTAAAATACTCCTATAAAAGATCAAAGTGAAAAAATAAAATAAAATTAAGACCAAATTAAAAAAAGAGTTTTTATTGATAAATCTCATTTAAAGGTGTTCCAACTCAATAACTCTACCAAGGAAAATTATAACCTAATTAGTCTCATGTATTTATACTTTTATTTCATGAGGTTTTTTTTTCCTAATTTATATTATATGTTGGACTATTATACCCTTATATCTATTGCTGATATGGATTATATAGAAAAATGATATACACATTTTCTTTTTGTTGCTATCTCTATTTTGGTAGTTACCATTATTCATGTTTTTCTTTTTGATCAGTTTTCATTCACATTTGTGGTATTGTTTCATTGAGCTAGGATCTCGAAACTTTTTATTTGGTAGGGTTTAGAAACTCTAGTTACATATGGTAGTGAAATAATATTATGTTCCTCCATTGTTGTGGTGAAACTTTGTGTTCTTTCATTGTCACTTTGTGTTCGGAATTCTGTGTTCGTTTATTGTTGCTTTGTGTTCGAAACTCTATATTTCTTCATTGTTGTAAGTTGAAACTCTATTTATGTTCAGTCAATTTTGTTACAAACATATTTTTCAAAGGTGGGTTTGGTTTGATTTGGATTTGTGGAATGGTGAGATTGCATAGATTAATGATACCGATAATGATAATGATAAAGATAATGGTGAAGATGAGGATGTGGGTGATATTTTTTTGTTATTAGAATGATTGGGTTTTTTTTTTTTTTTTTTTTAATTAGATACATATTTCTAATTCTATTACTGGCATTATTTTTATTTTTTTGTCAATAAGTGTGAATGTTCACATTTCACATTATTTGAAAGTCTGAGAAATAAGCGTTGGAATATAAATATGAACATAATTATATATTTTGCAAGATGTGAATGTTCACATATTATTGGTTATTTGTTACTATACTTGTCGTTTAAATAATCCTTTTTTGTTACCATTAAACAAGGGTTAAACAATTGAAATAGCTTTTTTTTTTTCTTTCAATTTTATTTCATGTTGTATTGTGAATGTTCACATTGGTATGAATTTAGTTTTTTTAATGTTAGTTGTATATTAATTGTAAATTATGAACATTCACAATGTATTTTAGTATGATTTTTTTGAAGTTTTTTTGAAAGTTAGTTGCATTTTGTTATTTTTTTACTATACTTATTGGTTGAATAATCATTTTTTTTTATCATTAAACAATCAAAATAGTCTATTTTCACTTTTCTTAATTTTATTTTATATTTTCACATTGCAGTGTGAATGTTTACTTTAGTATGAGTTTATTTTTTTTTAAAACTAATTGTATATTAATTGTAAATTGTGAACATTCACATTATATTTTGGTATAAGTTTTATTTTTTGAAAAGTTAATTGTATGTTTGTTGTTTTTGTTACTATGCTTGTTAGTTGAACAATTATTTTTGTTACTATTGAGCAATTGAAATAGTCAATTTTTATTTTTTTTAATTTTATTTTATATTTTCACGTTGCAGTGTAAATATTTACATTGGTATGAGTTATTTTTTTAAGGTTAGTTATATGTTAATTATAAATCGTGAACATTCACATTATATTTTGGTATGATTGTATATTAATTGTAAATTGTGAACATTCAAATTGTATTTTGGTATGATTTTTTTTTGTAGTTTTTTTGAAAGTTAGTTGCATTTTGTTATTTTTTTACTATGCTTGTTGGTTGAATAATCATTTTTTTTACCATTGAACAATCAAAATAGTCGATTTTCACTTTTTTCAATTTTATTTTATGTTTTCACATAGCAGTGTGAATGTTCATTTTAGTATGAGTTTATTTTTTTTTAAAACTAATTGTATATTAATTGTAAATTGTGAACATTCACATTATATTTTGGTATAAGTTTTATTTTTTGAAAAGTTAATTGTATGTTTGTTGTTTTTGTTACTATAATTATTAGTTGAACAATTATTTTTGTTACTATTGAACAATTGAAATAGTCAATTTTCATTTTTTTTAATTTTATTTTATATTTTCATGTTGCAGTGTAAATGTTTACATTGGTATGAGTTATTTTTTTAAAACTAGTTATATGTTAATTATAAATCGTGAACATTCACATTATATTTTGGTATGAATTTTATTTTTTCGAAGATTAATTGTATGTTTATTGCTTATTTTGAACATTCACATTGTATTTCAGTATGTGCTTTGTTTTTTCAAAAGTTAGTTGTAAACATTCACATTACATTTTGATCTTCATTCAGATTTTTTGTTGCGTTATTTTTAAAATTTTCAAATTATAAAAATGTTCAAAATTTATAATTTGAGATTTTATACATGAAATGCGGTAGAGATTTTCTCTTTAGAAAAAAAGAAGATTTTCTGTTTAGAATGAGAGAGAGATTTAGTTTTAAAATAAAAATATGTGCAAAAAATTAGAAAAAATAATTTAGTCATAATACATTAAACAAAACTTAATAAAATACTCAAAAAAAAATATGAATTAAATAAAATAAAACGCATAAAAAAAGAATTTATCAAATGACCTTTAAAAAAATATCAAACATAAAAAAATAAAGCGTAATTTACCTAATTTTAAAGGAGACCATGGGTGGTGTGGCTAGCAATGGAACACGAGGAGACAGACTTTTATAACAAACCAACAGGTAACAAATGACTGGCTGACGAGGCAGTCATAATCTTCACTTCGCTCGGAGAGAGAGAGAGAGAGAGATAGACCTTCAAAGCACTTCCAATATGGAACTCTGTGGTGCTACCTCTTTCGCTTGGACTAACTCTATCACTACCTCTATTCACATTACTCAGCCCTTCTCAGTGACTCTCTCTCTCTCTCTCTCTCTATATATATATATATATCTCTATTTGTACATACGAATGTGTTGGATTTTTGTTTGAAACGCGAATCTTTTTGTTGTTGTGTAGATTTATGGGGCTAAGAGATTTAGGATTTGGTGCGTCACCAACGACGCTGGCTCTGCTCATTCTAACGAGGTAAATGCTTTCTCAAAAAAAGCACTTTATCTCCTTCACAATTTCCTTTTTTTTTTCTTTGTCTGATTCATTAGTCTAATGCATTTACGCTTATGTATGTATGTTGAATATTTGAATTTTGAAGGAAAGGCAGTATAACCGGTGGATGAAAGAATTAAATCATGATTTTGGAATATTATGAATTTAGAAAAAAAATTTGGCTTCGTTGGGTTTTTAGAGTTGTAATTTGGAAATGTGATTGAAAATTGATTAATTCAGCTGTATTATAAGTATTTTTCAAGACATTTAATTCTCTAAAGTTGGTGTGAGGCCAGCAATAATGGCGAATTCGTGTTAGTCTGTGGTGCGTCAAATGGCACGAAATAAGGTGGGGTTGGGTTGTGGTCTAATTCTTTAGGTTATGTGAAGTGAAAGACCTTCATATTCGGGCTGAACATGGATATGGCCTGAAATTATGGCTTAATCTATCTATTCGCATACTGCGGTTCACTAGTAGAGACAAGTTAGTTTACTCCACTCCAAGAAGTACGGATACAGACATGTGACCCGATACAAACATGTGAAATTTTAATAAATGCAAGCGACACAACATGTTGGAAATACATGCAAAATATATAATTTTATATATTTGTTATATATTTTTAAATATTTAATATTTACATCAAAAGGTGTGCCCAATTCATCAAAAGGTGTGCCGGACATGATGGCGAGGCACGTGGGCGCCTTGGCTTGCGTGCCCGTTTGTCGGCTGGTGGCAAGAGGCGCGCGATGCGCGTGGCTGCCTCGGCTATATAACCAAGACTGAACCTGAGGCTGAGGCAGACAAAAAACTTCTGAAAATCCTCTGAAAAAAAAAACTCTTCGTTGTGCTGAGAGAGAGAGTCTGTAACACTCTGTTGCGAGAGATAGTCTGTAATACTCTGTTGCCCAGAAAATGGCCTCGTCTTCCCGGAGTTTGCTTACTCTCTTTCCCGATCTTAACGAGTCAACAAGAGAGATAACGGGGGTGGTGTCCCGTGAACCTCAACCAAACACCACTGGGTTTGCTCCGTTGAACTTTCCGATGCAGTCGGTGGAGCAAAAAATGGCAGTGCAAACGGATGTGGAGGCGAATCAGTATACTTTGAAGGCATGTGTGGAGTCCATGACGGCGGTCACAAACCTGTCGCACCGGCTGCAGAGTAGGACAAATGAGGTGCAGCAATTAAACTCCCAGCTGGCTCTGCTCCAACGCATGTATAAGGATGCGCGAGCAGAGATAAGCGTGCTAAGGGCAGAAAATAAGGAGCTGAAGCGGAAGGCCACCGTGATGTTCCGATTTGGAGGGCCGCCATATGCTGCAGTGGAGGAGCAGGGAGGAGTGAACGTGCTCGGCGGCGTGGGAAGGATGGAGGCAGCGCCGGGAAGGGATACCCAAGAGAAAAGCAAGAAGAAGAGACCTGCAGTAGAGTAGAGAAGAAAAAAATCCCGCTGTGGGTGTGGTTTTTTTTTTTTTTTTTTTTTTTTTTTTTTTTTAATGTAAAATGGAAGATAAAATAAAATAAAGAAAGGGAAAAGGGGGTGCAAAAGGGGAAGGAAAGTTGTCATGGGCGGTGGGGTAATGTTTAAAAAGAAAAGATAAAAAATAAAAGAACGGTTTGAAAAATTAGGGATGGTGTGTGAATCTGTGAGTGGATATGGTATAGGATAATATGGTAGAATATATTAGAATGGGGGTGGTGGGAACGTGGTGTTGTTTGAAGAATAAAAAAAAAAGAAAAGGGGTCTCTTTATGCAAAGGGAAAAGGGGGTGCAAAAGGGGAAGGAAAGTTGTCATGGGCGGTGGGGTAATGTTTAAAAAGAAAAGATAAAAAATAAAAGAACGGTTTGAAAAATTAGGGATGGTGTGTGAATCTGTGAGTGGATATGGTGTAGGATAATATGGTAGAATATATTAGAATGGGGGTGGTGGGAACGTGGTGTTGTTTGAAGAATAAAAAAAAAGAAAAAGGGGTCTCTTTATGCAGGTGCATGTCGGCCAGTGGAGGTAAAGATTAGTAAAAGAAAAAGAAAGGAAAAGATAGGGTGTAAAAGGAGAGAGAAACCGAGGAATCTAGAGAGAGAAGAGAGCTGGGTTCGGTGGGTGGAGGTAAAGATTAGTAAAAGAAAAAGAAAGGAAAAGAGAGGGTGGAAAAGGAGAGAGAAACCGAGGAAGCTAGAGAGAGAAGAGAGCTGGGTTCGGTGTGTGTGTATGCATGGTAGTGGTGGTGGTGTTGTGCATGCCGAGAGGGAGGGAGGTGGAGCTTGTGTGTGTATGTGTTCAGCGTGTATGCATCTGCTGGGTGTCCGTCTTGGGTGTGTGAATGTGTATCAATATGTATGCTTCGAGTATAGTTTCTCAAGATGTACGCTGGCCGGAAAGGACGAAGCAGGTGGCGAAGAGCTTGATCTTCTTCACACCTCAACAGCGCTGCAATCTGTTATGGGGTTGGAGAAAATGGTGGCTTTCACTCACCCTTGTCTGTAATGCCTCTCAAGTCAGATGGATCTCTCTGTATCATGGAAGCTCTCAGTAGATCACAACCACCCACTGCACCACCACCTGACCCACAGTGATCTGGGTATTATCTGAGTCTGCAAGTTGGGGCTCCCTGGTTTCTTCTTCTCTCTGCTCCTCCAATGGTGTCTGTTGGTGGCCATTTGATCGTCAGCCCCACAAGGTCTGCCATTATTTCCCAATGAAAACTGGATCTTCTTCTGACTATCAACCAAAGGAAAGTGTTGAGGTTCTACAAGCGATGAAGCATCTATATCATTGCTTTTGTAATCAACAAATGATCTGGGTTGATCTCTCTGAACATCAAAAGGTTTAATACTTTCTTCATGTGTATGTGTAACGGTGCCAGTCATCGAAGGTGGTGTGATTGACGAGTCTACTTGATTTTCGTTTACAACAGGAACTGTATTCACTGCCTGTGAATTGTAATCCCCAACTCTGAGACCTTGACTCCCAAAAAGCTCATCTTGGGTCTTCGTGAGGTCAAGTGCAGGACCCGGATTTGATGTTGTGATTTTTTGATGTTTCTCTTTGAGGAACCAATAAACGCCTTGGCCTAAGGTTATTCGACTGCATTGTGTTGAGAGGACGGTGGCGCTTGAAGGCAGCTTGAACATTCCGGACGAAGCCTGAGGTAGAAGATGACGAAAGGGACGAAGAAGACGACGATGTTGAGGTGAAGGAACGGGATAGATTGGAGTCGGGGTTGACCCGACGGACGAGATTGCTCTTCGTGGATGGTGATGGAGATAGCGAGCCGGGCAGGTTAGCCTCCCTGTCCATCGACAGAGCACATCCTAGATCCTTAATATCAAAATTTTGGCCCAAGTCCTTCTTTACTTGACCAATGTCGACGGAGTCATCACTTGGGAAAATAATATCATCCACATAAACCAACAAGATTATATATTGACTTGCAGAATTCCGACGAAGGAAACAAGTGTGATCGGAGTGTCATTGAACAAAGCCCATAGATATAATAACAGAACTGAAGCGACTAAATCACGCTCATGGAGACTGTTTCAGACCATACAAGGATTTATGTAACCGGTACACTTTTTCTGAATACTCCCCTTCAACCTGAAAATCAAGTGGAGGAGCCATGTCAATTGTCTCAAGAAGATCCCCATGGAGAAATACATTATTGACATCAAGCTGATGAAGATGCCAAGAATGAGATACTACAAGGGAGATATAGAGACGTACAAAAATAAGCTTGGTGACAGGGGCAAAAGTGGCACTAAAATCCTTTCCAGGAATTTGTGTGAAACCTTTGGCCACTAAGCGAGTTTTGTAACGGTCAACTGAGCCATTAGCGAGGTACTTTATGGTGAACACCCATATGCAACCAACCATGCTTTCCCCAGGAGGTAAAGGTACAAGATCCCAAGTGTGAAGAGGCCAAGAATGCTTGCTGCAAGGGAGATAAAGAGACGTATAGAAGTAAGCTTGGTGACAGGGGCAAAAGTGGCACCAAAATCCGTGCCTGGAATTTGTGTGAAACCTTTGGCCACCAAGCGAGCTTTGTAACGGTCAACTGAGCCATCGGCGAGGTATTTTATGGTGAACACCCATATGCAAGCAACTGTGCTTTGGTAAAGGTACAAGATCCCAAGTGTGATTTTGTTCGAAGACCGCTATCTCAGTCTGCATAGGCGCTACCCATTTGGGATTTTGAAAGGCCTTAGACACAGAATAAGGAATGGACTCCAACTTAAGCTTGCCAAGAAAAGAACAGTAAGAAAGGGAAACTCTATCATATGAAAGATGTTAAGAAATAGGATGATTAGTACTACTCAAATAACTTAAACGATTTAGAGGATGTTGATCCTGATGTGGGTTACGACGAGGAGATGGAGGAGGAGCTAAAGCAGAAGAGTTACCTTACTCAGAGATCGGAAAGGCGGCAAGAGGGGCCGAGTGTATGGGCGACGATAGTATACTTGCAATGGGGGAGGATGCAAAGGTTGAGAAGGAGAAAGGGGGACAACTTCATTCTCAACCTCGTCCAAAATGGTCACTAGATAAACAATAGAAGTAACAGGAGGAGAAGCCTGCAAAGAAAGGTTAGTACCAAAAAAGGAAGATCCTCACAAAATGTAACATCCAAAGTGTGATGAAGGTGACGAGATACAGGGTCATAACACCTATACCCTTTGGCCCTGTTTGTTTGGGGTTATAGGGAGGGGATTGAGATTGATAATAAGGTGGGATCCACTATATGGGGTGTTTGTTTTGAGAGATGGGGGAGGGGATTCCTAATCCCTTGGTATTATGATAGGCCTTGGAAGGGAGATTGGGATGGAGGAGGTGGAGATAGTATTAGAAAAATAGTCCCAAGGACTAGAATTATTATTATTTTTTTCTTTTTTATATGCTGGGCATTTTTTTTTGAATATTAATGTTTAATTTTTTGTATTTTTTGTTAAGTAAAAATCATTGTTTTATTTGTTTTATTTTCTTCTGAAATTTTTTTAATTTTTTTACATGTTGGGCTTTTTTTTTTTTGAACATTAATGTTTAATGTTTTTGTATTTTTTTATTTGTTTTATTATTTTATATAAAAATAATTTAACAATCCCTACACTAACAACTATCATCAAAACAAACACAATTTTACTTAATCTCCTCACTATCAATCCCCTCACTATTAATCCCCTCCATTCTACCTCTGAAAACAAACGGGACCTTTGGACATAGAAGATTACCCTAAGAAGATACAATGAATAGATTTATCATTTAACTTTATACGAGTGAGACTTCGATTTTGAACAAAACATGTACACCCAAAGACACGAGGTAAGAGTGGAAGCAGAGTGGTAGTGGGTATAAGGATATGAAACGGAGTGAGATCATGAATCCCCTCCATTCTACCTCTGAAAACAAACAGGGCCTTTGGACATAGAAGAGTACCCTAAGAAGATACAACGAATAGATTTATCATTTAACTTTACACGAGTGAGACTCTGATTTTGAACAAAACAGGTACACCCAAAGACATGAGGTAAGAGTGGAAGCAGAGTGGTAGTGGGTATAAGGATATGAAACAGAGTGCGATCATACAACACAAAACTAAGAGTCCTATTAATGAGGTAAACAGCAGTAAGGACAACCATATGCTAATAAGACTTGGGAATACCCATACCCAAAAGAAGACACCGGACAACAGACATAATATGACGGTTTTTGCGTTCAGCAACACCATTTTGTTCAAGGGTCTGAGGACAAGTAAATTGTTAAAGAATACCGGTTTAATTAAGATGTAAACGAAATGCATTAGAAATATATTCCCTACCATTATTAGAACAGATAGTCCTAACAATTGTATGAAACTGAGTTTTAACCATATGTAAAAATTGGACAAAAATGGAAAATACGTCAGACTTACAACGAAGTAGATAAACCCAATTGCACCTAGTGTGATCATCAATAAAAGTCACATAATATCTATGACTAGAAAAGGCGGTGATAGGGAAAGTGCCCTAGACATCAGAATGTATAAGATTAAAAGCACAAGGAGCACGAGTCATATGAGGGATATAGCTAGTATGGATATGCTTAGACAACTCACAAACAATACAATGAAATTTAGAATCTGCTGGAAATTTGTGTTAATGTATAGAATATGATAGTGGTGTTGGTGGTAGATAGTGGCATGTATAGAATATGATAGTGGTGTTGGTGGTAGATAGTGGCATGTATATAATATGATAGTGGTAGATAGTGGTAATATATAATATGTAAGTGGCATATAATGGGTTATAATGATGTTTGTAATATCTCCTATATAAGGAGTGCCATTTGGTCTTGTAAGATAAGAAGTTTTGAATATAACAGAAATATATTCCTTCTTCCTCATATTTTCGGAGTTTTTCTTTTGCAAGTTTTATTAAATGAAGAAAAAAGTTGACATAAATACTGAAAAGTAACATGACCTATATGAGCGTGCCATAATTCTAAAGTTTGAATATTAAAAACACAAGATATGGAAGTAGGCAAAACAGAGGCTTGAAAATTAGCTAAGGAAGAAGAGAAAGGCTCGTCTGGTGGATTCCCAAAGTAGTACAACATATCACGCTCATAGCCCTTGCCAAAAATCCTCTTCGAACTAAGGTCCTATAACAGGCAAGAAGATATTAAGAAAATAATAGCACAATTAAACTGTTTGGCAAGATGACTAACGGATAAAAGATTATATGCAAAATTTGGAACATGTAAAACAGATGATAAGGTAATGGTAGAGGATAAAGACACTACACCCTTATGACGAATAGAGGAAAATGAACCATCAACAAGACACACAGATTGGGCAATAGTAGTAGGGACTGGCGAAGAACGAAAAACTCACTCATTATATGATCATTAGCCTTAGAATCCAGAAACTATGGGGGATTAGTAGACTGAACATGGAAAACAGTAGAAATACCTATTGCAAGGGTGGCAGCAATGGTAGATGATGGGCCATGAGAACTGGCAGTAAGAGATCTATGTTGAGCCTGAAGCTGACCAATCTGAATTTATAACTCTTGTGAATTAGGGAGATGAGGAGACCCAGGAGCAGGAGTAGCGGAATCCACTAGAGCCGCAGTGCGAGGGGTGCTAGCACCATAAAGGCGAGAGGAACATTGCCTCAACTCAAGATGAAGTTTGAAGCAACAAGCCTTAACATGACCAGAAGCGCCACAATGATAAGTAACCGGACCAATATAACCTCGAGAACCAGACTTTGCAGCAAGAGTCATCTGATCAGATGAAACTGGAGACAGGGGAGAAGGATTTGGCTGAACCAGACGTCTATAACGCTTATCACTATCAATAGTGGCAACAGCCTCATAGAGAGAGGGCATGAGTGATGTGTTTAAAATCTGAGTTTGAAGGGATGCAAACTCAGAGTGAAACCCATCAAAACTGGTAAGTGTGCTGCTGAGCAAGGCGTTTGGACACGAGAGGCAGCATTTGCTGGTAACTTAGTCAAGGGCTCATATTGAGCTAATTCTTCCCAACAAGCCTGAAGGTATTCAAAGAATTCTAATATAGAAAGACCTAAGGCAGACTAGGAAACACGAGTAATATCCTAATAAAGCTCAAAAACGCGAGTATCTTTATGAGCATGAGCATACATCTGTGACAAGGCATGCCATAGATTGGGAACTGTGTCGTAATAGAGAAACATGTGATAAATACGATCTTCTATGGAGTTGAACATCTATCCCAAAATAGTACAGTTATCAATATCCCACTTTGCACAGGTAGGATCTGTTGCAATTGGCTTTGTAGTGGAAGATAAATGAGCTTTTTCCTTGCCCCCTAAATAGACTTTAAGGGAGCCGTTCCAGGCGGCAAAAGTTTTCCCATTTAACACCACACTCTTAATACAATGAACAAGAGTATAATGAGAAAGAGAAAAATCAAAACTAATTGGAACAGGCTTGGTGGGTATATCAGTAAAGGATGGATCAGTCATGGTGGGAGGAGAGGGTGAAAAACACACAAAGACAGCAACACAATCCAAGAAAAAATAAGAAGCTGGAAAAAACTCAGCTTATCCAAATAGATGCTACTGAATAAAAAGAATAAAAGGACAAACAAAGGGGCTTAATACATTAGTCCAATCACCCCCAAGAAGGAAAAAAAACAGCCACAAACCACCTAAAGAGGCAGTCAAAGCACGTAAGACCAAAACCAGGTCTGGTCGGCAACAACCAGAGCCTTGGCAGGGATAAAGAAGGCCTGCCGCGGTGAAGACAAGGAAGGAGAGGGGCTGCGGAGGCTGGGTTGAGGATGTCGGAGGGAGAAAAGGAGTTGGAAAGGGTTGCCGGAGGCTGAGTGAAGGCTGGGAAGGGCTGTCAAAGGGAGAAAAAGAGCTGAAAAGGGCTGTCGGAGGTTGTGTGAAGGCTAGGAAGGGCTGTCCGAGGCTAGAGAGAGGAAAGTAGGCAGTTGGTGATGATGGGTGGTTGAGAGAGAGACGGCTAGGGAGGTTCTGATACCAAAAAGAATGAAAAGAATTATTTGACATACCAATCAATGAGATAGAGGCCATGTACATATAATATATTCATGATACAATTTAGGAAACAATATACACAAAGCATGATTCCTACAATCAAAATAATTCCTATTCTAATTCCTATATGCAGACATAATATTTTGATTCCTATATTCAACATCACTTTCATTGTTAAAGTTATTGTAGCCTCCATTTTTATTTGTATTGCTCATCAAAGAAAGCATTAAGTTGAAAGGAACAGCTGAACATACAATGTAGAGCAATCATGGTCTGCATGTTTGCCTTTCTCAGCTCATCAAAGTTACACTAGTATCTGGTTTCCCTTTCATGCTCAGAGTGGATGTAAAATGTATCCATTTGGCTCATTCACTTGGCAGGCTTGGTTCATCAATAGGTTGATCATCTGTTGGCTGGTTTAGTTAGGTTGATAATGCATTCACTAGATGCACATTTTTGGCATCAAGGATTGTAAAGTTGATTTTTTGTATGTCATACTGGATGTTTTTGGTTCCTTGTAAATTTAATAAATTTTTGCAGTTTTCTTGCAGGGTACTGAGATGACTGTCTCGGTAACAGGAGCTACAGGTTTTATAGGTAGAAGACTGGTACAAAGGCTGCATGCAGGTTATGGTTATTCCATATAATCGTAATTTTATCAAATTAAACCATAATATAATTATTTTGTGGTTGTATGACAATCCATGAAATTCAGTGGATCCATTTTGGTCAAGTTCATTATGATGGCGTGAGTTACATTATTTTGTTTTTTATTAATTAATTTTATTAGATGAACATCAAAAGGGGATGCTACCTATGCACAAAACGAAGCCTAAAGCTGTTGTGAACCTAAAAAATAACAAATAATAAAGGCCTTTGCATAAGACTCAAAGGTCAGCCTATACGTTTCTTACATATCAAGAGCATCCACAAGATTTAAAAATTGATCTAGATTAGGGAGCACCCTACTTAAATTCCAACTACACAAAATAGCCAGAAATGAGCTTCTTTCATTTGAATCTTCTCTCAATCTGTACAACAACTCCTCAACTCTTTGAAGTGTCCTCTTTTTTCTCTCTCCAAAGAATCCACATCAACACACAACGGGGCCAAAAGCTAAGCCTTTTATCCTACGTTTCCCCACCCTACCTCTCCAACACCTTGAATGACCCCCAGGACATTACTAAGGAACACCTAATCAATCCCAAACATATCCAAATGAATACCTGATGTTCCCTAGCCATGCTACAATGGATGAGAAGGTGAGATATGGACTTCCCATCTTGCTTGCAAAGGCAACACTAATATCTATTATGCCTCCCCCTGCATGTAATCTGCTTCAGAAGCCTCTTAAGGGAAGGTCTTCTTCAACAAATCTTCCCCACCATCAATGTTTGCCAGACTTTTCATGCTGTCTCCCTTTCCCACATTAAAATCAGAACACCCCGCAAAATCATCCCAAACTTGACGAATGCCCTATATGATTTTCTTTTAAAATTTGCTTTTAATGTTCTCTGATGCAATGGTAATTTTGAATTGAAGCTACAGACATTCATGCCTTCTGGCATTTAACCATTATGTGTTCACTTTTATTACCTTTGGAATGCAGATAATCATAGAGTTCGTGTTTTGACGCGATCTAGATCTAAAGCTCAAGTAATTTTTCCGGGTAAGAAGGTAATGATTACATTTGTCTGCATAAATCCTTACAAGATGCTAGCATGTGACATTAGTGATATAGTGGAGCAAAACTATATCTGATTTTGCCTTCTGACAAAATGATGATGATAATCAGATTTGCTACAGGCAGAGTACATTTGGTCTCATTTATCTTGCATTGCAGTGTGTTATTTCTCAACTTCCACAACATAAATATTTTCTTTTATTTATTTTTGATGTTTTAAAACTGTTATTTTTCGTGTTAACACAATAACATAGGTTTTTTTTTTTTTTTTCGTGTTATTTTTCATCATTTCCTTCTTCTGTGTCCTTGCAATTATAGTCAGGGACTTTCCAGGAATTGTGATTGCAGAGGAGCCAGAGTGGAAAGATTGTATTCAAGGTTCAAATGCTGTTGTAAATTTGGCTGGAATGCCCATAAGTACAAGATGGTCTCCTGAGGTTAGCATTTCAAGCTTATTTGATTTTTAAATTGTGCTCTTTATGCTACAAGCGAGTGATAGCTTTGACCAAACCTGTTTACTATATACAAAGTTTGCTTTGTATTATTATTACTATTTTTTTGGAGCTATGCGCTATATATACTTTTGTAGACCTTTTCCTGGGTCCGTTAATATATGATCTGTCATCAGTTTCTATCTTGATCATACAAAATTTTGGGGCTTCAGTGACAATTCCCAGCTGAACTTGCAATCTTCAAGGTGGATGTGAAGTATTGTTCATCAGGTTGATAGTTTCACAGTCTAAAACATATTGTATAACAGTTTATACCAGGGTTATTACTTGATGTTGCATGGCCTATGGAGGAAATTTTATTTGTGAGAGTGCAAATAGCCAGTCAGTTGTACAAGATGCGTGCCTACAACTATTGTCATCGGTATCTTTATCGTTTAGTCTATTGACATACTCCAAAAATGATGTTTATCTTGCCTATTAACCAAATTATGTTGTGCATTTTCTGGATACCACTTGATAGGGCAATGTATTTTAATTTTATTTTATACTTAAATTTGAATGAACATCCCCCACTGTGAAAGGTTAGGATGAACATGATTTTGACCTCATTGTTAGGATGCTGAAATTTTGAATGTACTTGCACAAGTAAGATTGTAACACATCAAAATTCATTGATCATGTCTGTCTTTTCTACCCACCACCTCTCCTCTCCCTCGCTGAAGACCCAAACCCAAACCCCCTATTCCTGTCCTCCTCCCTCTCTCCTAGCCACAGCCTCAATCCCTTAATCTCTCGCTCCTTCATCCCCTTTCATCACTCTAGTCCTCTCCTCCTCGCAACAGAGCTTGCCGAAAAACACCCACCCTCTTTGCTACCGACACTGCTTCACCTTCCCTTCGAACTAGCAAGGTAAGATTGATTGTTTTGATTTTGGTTGCTTCGCAAAAGAGGAGTTTTTCGGATGATTTATTGTTTAGTAGTGTTAGGTATATGATTACACCATTTTTGGAAATCCATTGATACAGATGGGATTAGTAACATTAAGTGTAGATACATAGAAATGCGGATTATAAATGGTTCTGGTTGATGCTTATAAGGTGTTTGATGAATTATCTCTTCACATAACTACGTAACAACCTTTAACTACTACTTTTTTCGTAAACTTTTTTTGTGAACTCTGTCCCTCTCTCTCTCTCTCTCTCTTTCTCTCTATGCTTCTCTATGCTTCAAGTTTTAGTTGGATAAATTGTTATTTGTTGGTGGAATTGATGTTTTTCTTTATCATCATTTCTGTTTCTGGTTTATTGTTTGGTGGTTGCGTACATATGAAATTTATTGTTTGAGCTTCTCACGAGGTTGTTTCTCTTTTTGATTATTTGTTTTTATTGATTGATTAATAACATATTTCGTATAAGTAAATTTTTTTTTATTAATAGTTAGTATAGAGTATGTGTGTGTTCAAATTGTGAGATGGGTTTTTATATTTGGTTAAACATTCTGGAGAGTAATTGAGTAATTATAGCGATCCCGGTTTCCCCTTTTCTTTAACTGTTGTACCCGGGCTTAGGTTCCGTGGAGTTGGTTGTTGTATATGTCTTGGTTACATCCTTTACTCCTTGCATTCGAGTCTAGGGTTGTGTTGGGCGAGTTTGAAACAGGTTGGTTGGACTTAGAAACCAAGAGTAGTTGCCCAGATTTTGGCCTTTACGCTCGAGCGAGGATTTTGACGCTCGAGCGGGCCCTTCGTTGTTGTCTGTCCGCTCGAGCAGGGTTTTCGATGCTCGAGCGTAGTTTTCCATCTTCCAGTATCTCCTCTGCAGTGTTGTGCGCTCGAGCGGGTGTTTTGACGCTCGAGCGGGATGTTGTGTGACGCTCGAGCGGGGAGGGTTGACGCTCAAGCGGAGACCTGGTTCTGTAAAAGTTCTGGGAGTGTGTATCCGCCGCTCGAGCGGGAGTCTGTGAGTTCGAGCGGGAGTCTGTGAGTGACGCTCGAGCGGGGACCTGGACGCTCGAGCGGGGCGACTAAACTGTCTGCTACATTGGTCCGACATGACCCCGTAAACTGTCTGCTACATTGGTCCGACATGACCCCGTAAACTGTCTGCTACATTGGTCCGACATGACCCCGTAAACTGTCTGCTACATTGGTCCGACATGACCCCGTAAACTGTCTGCTACATTGGTCCGACATGACCCCGTAAACTGTCTGCTACATTGGTCCGACATGACCCCGTAAACTGTCTGCTACATTGGTCCGACATGACCCCGTAAACTGTCTGCTACATTGGTCCGACATGACCCCGTAAACTGTCTGCTACAACGGTCCGACATGACCCCGTAAACTGTCTGCTACAACGGTCCGACACGACCATACCGTGTCTCCTATCCTGTTTTGTTTTTTATTTATCAGTTTACTTTTCTGTTTTGTTACTCTCTTCAAACTCAAGTTGGTTAGTTCCTATCCTCCTTGAGTTTGAGGGGGGCTGTTAATGTACACTAAACCTAACCCACTAACCTAACCCACTACATCCACCCCACTAAACCTAACACACTTACCATCTCCACTACCACCCACCACCTCCACTACCACCACTCACTAACCCAAACCCTCTCCTATATAATGCCACTCTGATTTGTAATACAATATATCAATACAACAATCTTGTGATCAATCAATCAATAATATACATCAGTTTATTTTACACTGCTCTTGGTTGTGTAGGTTTTCCTGGATTCATTTGGACGACATAGTGAATCTAATATATGAAGCTTTAAACAATCCATCTTATAAAGGTAATTTTTTTTAATTGATTAATACCAATTTTTACACGACTCTTGAGATAAGGTTAAGGGCAACTAACTCCTAAATGCGGGAGTAGAGCTTACTTTTGTGATACTAAGTCTGCAAAAGCACAAGAGTGAGCGAACAGTTTGAAAATTTCCGTGGGAATTTCCTGTATATATATTGCCTCACCAACTGAAGTTTGATTTTTCCTTTCCATCCTATGATTGTGGCTATCTGACGCCTTTGTGTTTTCTGGAAACCTGTTGCGGGCCTTGTGCAAAACCAGAAATTTTACTTTCATCACCTTTTTGGGTGATTTGGGATTTTTAGATGTGAGAGATTGGCAGAATACCCTTTTGTGTTTCTTTCACTTCTTGCTGCAGCTCTCATGTTTATTTCTCTTATATGCATTTTAAGATGCAATTGTCGACATCATGCATCCGCCATTCATTTTTATTCATGCCTGGTTGCCTTCTAGATTTTTTCCTTGGAGTTTCCTCTCTCTATATATTGCCTACTTGCTGGTTTTTGTTATTGGATTGGGTGATTTGGAAAGAAAAGAAAAGAAAAGAAAAGAAAAGAAATGCACCTATTTGGATTAGTTAGTAGGAGAGAAATGGAGTGAAGCGGAGAGAAACTAATCTCTCTTAAAACCCCCATTTTGGATCTCTTCAAAAGTGGAGTGATTGGGAGAGAAGAAAACCAATAGATTACTATTTTTTTCATAATACCAAAACTGCTCCTTTAGATATAGAAGAAATTAAAAAGCTCACTTTGGTAATATAACATGAAACAAATTTTCTTTTCTTGTTTAACCAAACAAAATAGGAGAGAAATCGTTCTCTTTCTCTCCTAACTTTAGCGATAATTTTTTTTCTTCTCTCCGAGTTCGCTAACAATCTTTGCCAGTGCTCATGTTCAATTGACTCGAACCGGGCATATGGTCTTTGTTATTGGCATGGAATCACAATGTTCTAGGAATTTCCTATTTTTGGACCGAGTCTAAGCATTCGAATGTCAGGAGTTATCAACGGAACTGCACCTAACCCTGTCCGACTGGGGGAGATGTGTGAACAACTGGGATCTGTCTTGGGCCGACCCTCCTGGCTGCCCGTACCTGACTTTGCACTCAAAGCTGTCCTCGGAGAAGGTGCCACGGTTGTAAGTATCTCTTAACTCTCTCACACTAAATTTCTGTCATCTTTTATTTTGTTTTGCTCGTGTACTCTTTTCATTGTTCACATTGTGCTAAAAATCCGGTAAGTGAGGTCCATCCTCACAGGTTCTGGACGGGCAAAAAGTGGTTCCGGCTAGAGCGAAGGAGTTGGGCTTCCCATTCCGATACCCGTATGTGAAGGATGCATTAAGAGCCATTATGTCACAAGAAAGTTAAGAAGTGTGACAAGATCAACTTGCATATATTCTTTGTTCTTTTGGTAAAGGATTTCTGGCTACTCCCAAGTCAGATTCAAGTTCAATCACATTTAAGTGAAAATTGAGTGTGCTTATTGATTTATATGAATCTTTATGACAATTTAGATCTGAATCGAAGTTAACTCCTCTAAGCCATCCATGCACAGATGACGATGTCGATGTTATTTGTTGATGTTCCTTATTTTTCAGACTATGTTCGTATTTAGCCTCTGTTATTAGGCATACAACTAGGTATTTTCAAAGTATAGAATAATTAGACATCAACGGGTTTATGTTATGGCTATGTTTGTGGGTGAAAAGTAGCGGGAAAGAGAATAACTTTTTCAAATTTCAAGAAAATAAAAAATATAATATTTAGAAAATTTGTCCATAAATTCCTCTTAACTTCTTTTTCTTGTTAAAAGGACAAAAAAAAAATAAAAAAATAAAAAAATTATTATTTTCAAAATCTTCTCATAATTATAAAATCTTGTAGGAAAGACAAAATTTGTTATTTAGATATTTTATTTGATCATTATACCATCTCTTTCTTTTATAGTACTATCTCTCTTCACCAACTCGATGGTTGTTAATCGCTTTCACCATCTTCATCATCTGTCGGTGTTGTTTATCCTTATCGGTGGCCAACGACCACAATTTTTACCATCAAACCACCACCTTCTCAAATTTGATACTTACGAACTCCTATTTGAGATCAATAACGTCAAATTTTGTATAACAAGAGTTAGATTTGATAATGTAAAAAAAAAAAAAAAAGATAAATTATAAACGGGTAGGAGAATCACCAAAAAAAAATTCCAAAATTTTTGCTTTTTAGTTGCCTATTTTTTCGATTTTACTTTTTTTTTAAGAAAAATAGGCCTATTTTTCGATTGCTTCATTCTAGTGGTATTTGGTTCGATTAATTAACAGTTTTTAATAATGTTAAAATTTTATTTCAATTAACAATTCAGATAATTTTATTATTATATAGGTGAACAGTTAGAAATTTTATTTTTTTCAATTAATTTTGTTAAATAAAAATTTTTGACAATGAGGTAGTTGTAATTTTTCAAACCATAGGGGGCAATTCGTAATTTAAGTGAACCTCAGGGGTGTATTTGTAATTTACCCTAAAAAATGAGAAATCTAGAGATCACAATGAAAAATTAAAAGTTTTTTATTTGTTTATTCATAGATCTAAAAGTAAAATTTGACTCTAGTTCATTCATTATATACTCTGTTTTTTCGAACGTAAAATTGTATTCTAGTTAATGATATGCTAATCTGCTTAACGATAATAAAATTTTACTTGGAAACACACTGCGAGAATGGCTTTACAAGAGAGAGCTGCGTCATGAACCAAAATAAAATTTTATTGTTCAAAGAACAGAGCATCATGGAAAGAAAAGAGAGATAAAGAGATTGATTTCGAAAACAGAGTATCATGAGAAGAAGAAGAGAGAGAGAGAGAACATAAATGGTAAGTGACACGCATACAGAACACGAACTATTAGAACCAAAGAGAGAAAGCGTGAAGGATTTTAGATTTGAAGTTTGCAAACTGCAAACCGTCATTTTCTGGTGACGACAACGATGATGAATGATCTCAAATCTGTGGTTGCAGACACGACACGCAACGGTGGCGATGAAGATGGTAGAGAAAGAGTTCCATGGAAAGCGCCAATGGTGCCGGTGGAGAGCGTCAGTGGTGTCAATGGAGATTGACAGTGGTAAAGACAACAAGACAAGGAAAAAGAAAGACTATGAGAGAGAGTGTTTACAAATCTGATATATATATATATATATATATAAATAAGGATTATATAATAAAAGAAATAAGTTTTAAAATATTAGAAAATTTTAAAATGATCTATATAATTCTTATCTTTTTTAATGACAAATTAGACAGTGAAGAGTTTATCATCAAATCCGTCTATATTTTGAGTGGTGATAACATTTCATCATCGAGACCTATTATCATTCAATAAGAAATTATCACGTAACGTTAGTATTCAATAATGAAATTATCATCTGGAAATAGTAAATTCCGACTTCTAGTAAATTATCATGTTGGTAGAGGTCAACCACTACGAATTCCAATTTATAGTAAAAAAATCTCAATTTCAATACAATGGTTGCATAGGCCATAACCAAAACATGCAGTAGTATACACCTCCATTTTTGAGGTGTAATATAGAATTTTCATGTTCCATATACTATTTTGTTTTGTTTTTTTTTTTTTTGTTAGTAGCAAGAGTCTATCAAAATTCAAAATCAGATGTCTTCAAATCGTCGTGTCATATTATTTTAAGACCTCAAGGGTGCATTTATTTAGACGGACTGGATAAGAGGAGATTGTAATCTATCGGACTATTAGTCCTAGGATACAATGTCCCGGGACTATTTAGTTGGACTAAATTTATATCCTATGTTTGTTTAGTCATGGGATTAGATGTCTGGATTGGACTATTTTTAGGGTCATTCTATTTACACACCACTTTCCCACTCAAGGCAAACTATTAATTAATTTATTTTTTATTACAATTTTAACCTTAAGTGAAATGACTATAAAGGACAAATTATGATACACCCCATTTGTGTATTTACCATAAAGGACAAGAATCAATATAATATAAATCATCAATTTCAAACTTGTTCCTTACGTATCTTCTCTGTCAAGAATCCAAAAACTCTAAAACCAAAATCAAAAGCCCTTCAACAAATAATCAAAAATATAATATTATTGAAAATTTTGATTGGATTCAATGAATGATGCATTTGACAATTCTCATTCGGAACAATGGAGCAATGAAAAGGTTTTTTTTTTTTTTTTTCGTCTTCGTTTTCGTTTATGAGTGGTAAATCGTTGTTCGGTTAACCAAAGGTGAATGATATATCATTGTTCGACAAACTACAATCGAACAAATTACATCTGTTCAACAGACTACAATCGAACAGATGTGCAAATCACATTTGTTCAACAAACTACAATCGAACAACTTACATCTGTCCAACAGACTACAATCGAACAAGTGCAATTTGTTCAGATTACTACGGTCGAACTTTTTCATTTAATTCAACTCTGTACTGCTGAACAGTTATAATTTTTTTTTTTTCAGAACAGTGTTGAGCAACACCACCGACAACATCTTGATGAGTGTTTTCAGCAATGGTGGTCACCAGTGTAAATAGAGAATGAAGGGGGAGATGAATATCGTGGGTGTGGGGTGTGTGGCTGTGTAGGGGCAAAGATGAAACTTTGTGTGTATATTGTTGTGGGTGAGTGTGTGACTAAGGATAAATATATAAATTTGTGGTATGTGATGAGAAAAATATTTATTTTTACAAATTATTTTTAATGTACCTTTAGAAGTGATTTGTCTTGAGAGAGAAAGTGGTGTGTAAATAGAGCCTCCCAGAGCTTAGTAGTGTTTTGAAAAGTTGGTAAAAAGTTTATTTTTTTAATTTATTTGTAATTTTTTAAATTTTTTAATGTAAAAAATAAATGGGTGCTTTTATTTACACACCACTTTTCATTTCAAGGCACATCACTAATTAGTTTTTTTTTTAATTACAATATTAACCTAATGTAAAATGATAACAAAAAACAAAGGGTTATGATATATACCTTACGTAATACATACCAATTACTCATTGCACACCACACCTAATTTTGATTTTTTATTTCTCACTCAATACATACTATCAATTTTCAAATATTTCCAAAATATCCTCATCTTTTCTAACCATAACCATAACTCTAATCCTAACTTTACCCCGCAATAGCCGCCGCCGCTGCCATCAATCGTTGCCGGCAGCCATCCTACCTCTTTCTACTACGCGCTATCCTTCGACCGATACCATTCCCTTTTCTGTTTCCATCCCCAATCCATTTGTGCCCCTGCTATGGCAGCAACTCGCATTGCCTTTTCCTTCACTTAATTAAATTTAATTTATAATTTAAATTTTTTATTTAATATATAATTTTAAATTAACAACGCTAAAAAAATAATTTATAAATGTTCAAAGACTATTTTATCATTTTCTAATTGTTTGCTAAGTAATAGCATGGAGGGTAAAATGAATATTTACCAATTCTATGGTTTCTATCCCACCTCTCCCATAGGATACGATAGTCTCATATTTGTGAGACTAATAGTCTGTCCGGAGTAAAAAAAATGAAACAAACAAAAAACTATTAGTCCGGTAGAACTAATAGTCCAATCCCACCCCTAATCCCAAAACAAACACACCCCAACTGTCTTGAGTTTAAGATAAGGTTTTGGTGTCATTGATCACATGAACTTGTGTCCTTGAGATCCCTAATCATCACAGAAAGTGAGAAAGTCTAGAATATAGAGAGAATCGAACACATAATACATTGATGTGAAATAAAATGTTTGCAACTATATATGTAGACAAATTTTGCCTCACATTTGTGCATTATATATCCCTTTCTCTCTAGGGTTGATCAGAAATAGGAAAGAGCCAGGTTCGATCGAAATAGGAAGAAGCCAGATTCGATCGAGCATTCTAGGGTTCATTTTAACACGTACATAGCACAACTGTTCCAGAAATAAGGAGCTTGATCAGAAATAGGAAGGAGCCAGATTCGATTGAGCATTCTAGGGTGCATTTTAACACTTAACTAGCCCATATAGGGGGCACAATTGGTATTTTTAAAATCAGATATTGACAGCAGCATTTCTCAGTGGTAATGTCATGACCAAATTGTAGTAAAAATTCAATACCAGAAGACCAAATTTGTTAAACCTAACAATAATAACAATAACAATAACAGAGAGAGAGAGAGAGAGAGAGAGAGAGAGACAGATGTCAGTCTCAATAAGGTCCCAACAAGATACACATTGGTAACAACAATGCAAGGGCAGGACAAAGAAGTGAAAAAGAGGTTTACATTGGCCCAATCGCAACACGTCATAAACAAAATGTGTAAGTTAATTTTTTTTTTTTTTAAATTTTCTTCTTCATTTTGAAACAAGAATCCACTGTTCCATTTGCTTGATTGTACAATATCTCAGCTTAATATGATCCTCAAAGCACGGCGAAGAACAGTATAATTTAAAGGCATTGATTTTAGTCAGCCCTTCAGCGAGTACTTTCTACCTGTAAAAGGCTGGAACTTCGGTTCTTCTTTCTTCGGGGGCTGCTCTTGCTTTGGCTCTTTTGCAGCTTCCTGCAACATTAAAAAGCCTCACGGGTTGAGACTATGGTTTTAAACAACAGTAGCGAGATAAGTACTGATATCAGCCAATATATCATTGATATTGGTATCAGAAGTTCAAAATTCCAATATGTATTGGCCAATATTTAAAACCCTGGTTGAGATATTTTGATATCCTTAAACCAAGAGTAGAGCAGTTTATGAAGATGAAATCACTGTACCTTTTGTGGATCCTTTGTGCGATTTACATTTCCGCCAAAAACAAGCTTCCCCTGAGTTTCACGAGTGGTGCCTTGTGAAGTAGACCCTGCAGAAGAACGCTGCCCACCACCATTGGCAATGTTTGGTCGCTTGTCTTTGGACCCAAAGGAAGAGGAAGATACAGATGGGGGCTGGTAATTCAAGGGTTTCCCATCCAAACGTCTCCCTGATCCTGTAAATGGGTTGAATTTTGGCTCGGTTTCAGCTGGAGCCTCTTGACCTGCATGAACAGAAATTATTTTTCTTGAGGAACTGTTTAAAAAAAATGATTAAAATAAAGAAAGAAATAGTTAATAGAATCTACAATTTAAGCTTGAAAATTCAGTTTCAAAGATGATAGGCAGTTTCCAGCAATTACCAAGTAAAACAAAAGGTTAATATCTTCATCCAAACAATAAAAAACTTAGAGCATCTCCAATGGAGATGTTAAAATTGTGCGTATTACTTTTTGTTAATTGACAAAAAAATGGTAAAAGTGGAACTCGATGCTGTGTGTCAAGTGTTTGTTAATTTCCGGAGTGAACGGGTGCTGCAATGAAGATGTTAAAATTGTGTGAACTAGTGTGTTAATTGATAAAAAGTGGTAAAAGTTGGGACCCAATGCAGTGTGTCAAGTGTGTTAAGTGTGTTGATTGACGAAGTGAATGGGTGCTACAATGAAGATGTTAAAGTGTGTTTTAAAAAAAAAAAAAGAGAGAAAAAAAATTTGAGTGTAACAACACTACATTTTTCTGTCTAACACCTGACCATAAAATACTCTTAGCACACCATCCTAGCGAGGATGCACAGACACCTCACCATATTAGGGCTAATCTACTACAGGAAAAGTACAAAGATACCAAACAAACCCAGACTTTTGAACATCAATGTAGTGTGTACCTTAACTTTCTCAATATGGGAGCATTGATTTGAATCATACACAAGCATGCATGAAGATGGGTATGATGACCATGTCATCATCCCTATTGTGGTCATCCTTATTCTAGTATTACAAACGGTAGATCCATTTGCCAAAGCATTTATGGTTACTAATAAAATAAATGCAGAATTTGATGCTTCTCTTAGATATATATTGCCTTAACAGCAGTCAGTAGTTAAAATTGAACAGGCAATTCATTGACAAAGATAAGTAAATGAAAAGCATAAACCCTAATTTCTTCAATTGAATTTAATTTGTCCGAACTTCTAATTGCTTGGGAAAAAAGTAATAGTCTCACTAAATTAATTCTTAATTTGTAATTGATAGTGGACTTGTGTCATAGTTTTATTTTTTGGAGCCTTTTGCTTATGGTAAATTCATATTATGTTGTAGGGAAGATTAGCAGAGTGTGCAAGGCTTGAACTAAACATCTTTCACACCATGTGGTGTTTCTCAGAAACAAAAACTGGACATAGATCTCGAAATTTTGTTCCATGGGTAAAGCAGGTTGTTCAAACCTATCAAAAAGAGACATGATGTACTCCTCAGCATAACATACCCAAATATTCAACAAATTAACCATAAACCTCACCAAGTTTGAAACAGGTGAACACCACAAAGATGAGATGATATGGGCATGTCAAGAATGGAAAAAGAAACTTGCATAGATTTAATATGTGAAGTAAGTCAACACATTTGCACCTTTGGCCAGTGCCTTGCTTGGAGGAACAGCGGCAACAAGTTTTTCAGGTTCCTTGTAATCAAGGGGAGGTGCAAAGTCCACCTCGCAGTCTGTCTCAATGATACTTATTGCATGAGAAGGCTTTGTTTCAATGATATCTATGTAGTACTTCTTATTATTGTATGCCACCATAATACTATCACCTGTTGTTAAGCAAGAAAAGTTCCTCAGTGTTGTCTCCAAGCTGCATGAGGTAAGAACAAATGATTCAAATTAGAAGATCTACCCATAATAAATGACACAGCCTCCGTTTGGGAAGTGGGTTGGCTTTTTAGCTTTTTTGCTATTTTAGCCTGGGGCTAAAAAACCTGGTTTGGGAAGGGCTTTTTGGCTTTTTGGCTTTTTTGACTTTTTTTGTGAGAGAGGAATGTAATGATTATGGGTTGAATTTGATGTTTTGTTTTTTGTGGCTAAAATAGCCTATTTTATTTTTTGTGGCTATTTTAGCCCCTAACCCACCAAAATCAACTTCCCAAACTATGCCATAATATAAAATTGGTTCAACATCTTTATCTGATATCAGAACTTTTTATCCAGACAGGTAACACCAGAACATAAAACAAAATAGAATTCCTAACTCCCTCAAAGCTTCAAAATGTCATAGAAATCTCATGGGGCATCCCTGGTTCTTTTATTAGTCTCCATTCGAGAGATGAGTCTCAAATTGTCTACCTTCTCCTCCCTCTCTTCTCTGGTTGTGGTGGTGATTGACAGTTCAAAGGTTGCTCAGTAAGGCTTGTTCCATGTATATTGTTTAAAGGCTTCTTGCTACATTATCTGGTACAAGTCCTAACCAAATTCGTCGTCTTGTTTAATGGATGATGGTGGCGGTCACAGTGGTGGGTGTTGTAAAGAGAGAGTAGGTTAAGAGGTTGGGTAAATCTTTATTTTGATCCAAACCTAGATGCTTTTTCCCAATGATATATCCTCATTCTTAAGTATTGAAACATCTGGAGGTGGAATAAAAAATTTACATAAGGGCAAATAGGTAAGTTCATCATTTCCATTTATTAGCACTGACAAAGGCTTGACAAGAGGGTTATATTACATCTTGACCTAAAGTAAAAGCTTTTGATTATCACAATTGAAATTACAGGGACAAAGTGGAATTTGAGATAAATTCTTGGGGTGCTAGGTATAATTTACAGAGTTATATATGTTCTTTTACTGGTCAAGATGACAATCAAATTGCATGAAGGCCAAATGATGCCAGGGCCAGGAAACATCATTCTACTAACAACAAAATCAAAGCACAAAGATCATAAACTCACATGGCCTTTGGATTGGATATATCCAAGAAGTCTTTTGTATGGGGTTGCAGCTTAACATATGTCCCTTTTGGGAGAGTCATATTTTTCACTCGCACAATGTCTCCTTCTTGTAAGAGCAGATTCTCCATCATCTACAATGAAGCAATACATAGGGTGCATCAATGGAGAATAAATGCAAAAAAAGACTCCTCAATGACACTGGTACACAGCAAAATATACCAAAACCACAAAACTTGTATACAAAAACACTACTGGTTGCCTACCCAGTAAGGCATATATATCATGCCTTCTTCTGCAATGAACTCAAGAACGCCACAATGAGAAATGCGCTCAGTAGCAACATTGCGAAGTTCAAACAACATAGGATAATCAATATGAAGAGATGCTGCAGAATAGAGTCTTATATTAGCATTTTAGATGATAATAGGAAAAAATTTTGAATTAACCACAAAAGATAATAAGCCATCATAAAAAATTTCAAATAAATCAACTAACCAAGACGGTCAAGGGCTGAGGGGGGCATTATAACTGCAACAACATAGTGAAAAGATAAATAAATAAATAAAAATTAAATAAAAAATTAAGACATTTAGAAGGCTAATACACGCACACACAAGTGTTTAGAGTTTGATAACTTACTTTTATCACCATTTTCAATCTGTGGCTGCAGGATTGAAAAGAAACAAATAAATTAGAAATTCGAATATGAATAAGTAAAAGACAACATACAATTACAGTCTTTTTCCCCCTTTCCACTGTTTTCCTTTTATATTTTTTATTTTCCATCTCCTTTTTTTTTTTTTTTTGATGTGGGTGGACACGAAAATGAGTAAAGAAAGACATGAAGGCCTTCAAGGGAAATGAAAGAGCACATATGGTATCATCTTAATTGTTAATTTTCCAGAATTCATTTACATTTACATTTGATTAAAGAGTGCCATGAATTTGGTTGAGGGCATAGAAAAGATGACAAAACATAAAACTGAAACAGTATAATGAATAAAATCAAATTAATTAAGTGAATCAAACAAAACAAAACAATTATCATGTTGAGGAAAGCTTTCCAACCTTATCAATAAAAGATGCAGGGTAACATCGATATGTTTGCTCAAATGATGTTCCATGATATCCATATCCATCAAAATACTGCAACGTGTCCCCACCAATGAAATGAATTATGACAGTGATAATGATATAAACAACAACTACAATAATATAGTAATTGTAATAGTTATTAACCGTTATTTTTATTTTTATTACAACATCTAATGAAATAAATTAAGACGGTGAACATAATTAAACAATATCTATATATATTGAAATAACTAAATATGCACTGATTTGGGCTGCAAAATATAGTAATTAAAAGTGAGGCAATGAATATAATTCAAACGTGTCCATAAACAAATAGTTATCAAATGGAAATTTACAGTAATGTCCATAAACAAATAGTTATCAAATGGAAATTTACAGTAAGGGATATGTAATACATATAGAAGCTGTATACAGATTGTGCAAAAATCATAAAAGCATTAAACACAAAAGGACAGTTCTCTTTTTCATCTTCTTCTTTCTCTTCTTTCTTTCTCAAATAGTACATGGATCATAGTTAAAAACAATTGGAATGTATTCTACCACATATGACAATACAGTCAATTCTAGTCTGCCATGAACCAAAAAATGCTCAAAACAAATTTCTCTTTTTGATGATTTCATACATTTTTTAGATTAATTAAGTAATATATCTCAGATATCATGTCTAGAATTATAAGTTTAACCAACAAGTATCTGTAAAGTTCATGCAATACTATCAAGCCAATGTAGGTCTAATACTAATACCAGGTATGTAGAAAAATTGAAAATCGACTACTCATGCAAAAATATAATTTTTTTTACTCACTTTAAATTTCAACCTCAAACTGATATATCTAGAATCAAATTTAAGCACCGATTTGATGGCAATAAAAAAGAGGAAAACAATAAAAAACTTCTCACTTTCGCAACCAACAATTGCTCTAATGCTCTATTTGGTTCAATGGAATGAGTTGGAATTGAATGGAATGGAATGATCATTTTTTCATATGGAATCACCATTCCGTTGAAATGATAATGATGCTTCTATTTGTAATGCATTTTGTCATTATTTTTTTAGTCAACCAAACATTTTGATGGAATGATCATATTTTCATTCTGTTCCATTCCAGTGAACCAAACACTACCTAAATTTGTCCTCAATATACTAATAAGTACTTCCAAAATTTAAAAAGCAAAGACAAAAGCAAAAACCTCACTGAAACCAATCAAATACTCTTCAAACTAACAAAACTATTATCAAGAAATCACAATTACAGAACATACCATATTTACTGTCTGGATTGTATCAGCACAGAAACAACTGCCTCAATCTCCCTATTTGAAAAAACAAAACCCTTGATCATCAAAATCAAATAAAATCACAGTAACAATGAAGTAATTTAACAATATTTGACCAATAGATACAATTCAATAAACATTGTATAGACACAAAAATGTATGAAAAATGTGAAATTGTTCAAAATTTTCTGATCTTCAATCAGATACGGATCAATATATATATATATATATATAGAGAGAGAGAGAGAGAGAGAGAGTGAGAATAGCTACGAGAGAGAGTGGAAAGCTGTGATCTTTGATGGAGATTTTGAATACAAACCCTGGAGTTGAGAGAGAGTGTCGAAGGAATGAACGAATTTTGCAGTGTCGTTTAAGGAAGATTTTTGTACACGAAACTACTGAACCGTAGAGTGATATATATAGATATAATAGGAAAGAAAAGCTAAGATGCGCTTTGGTGCGTGGTGTTCACGCCATGTCTATGATTGTCACGTGTGATCCAGACACTAGTTGAGGTTCTAATAAGGAAGGCATATTAGACTACCGTATTGTTAGCGCCTTGGATTTATTAAGGCGTCGTTTGGAGTAGGTTGGTTTTTGGTTATTTTAAGTTTTGTGTGGTATGATTTAAAAAAATTAAAAAGTTATTATTCTATTTAAGTCACATTGTCTTATTTAAGTCATATTATCTTTTTAACACATCTCTAACACATCACTTCAAACTCAACCCATACCTAATTTATATTTCATAAAAAGGTAAAAAGTATACTTATTTATATCATCCCAAACCGCTCCTTAGTCTGGGCTAAAAAATTTAATTTGAGAAGGACTTTTTGATTTTTTGACTTTTTTGACTTCTTTTGTGAGAGAAGAGTATAATGATTATAGGTTGGATGTGATATTTTATTTTTTATGGCTAAAATAGCCTATTTTATCTTTTGTGACTAAAATAATCAAAAAAATCCCAAATAACTCTTCTCAAACGGAGTCTAAGGCTCGTTTTAATAATTTGAATTATTTAACATATAAATTTATTGTGTATTTTGTATCTATAATAATATAATTTTTTATAATTATAAAATATTTGACGAATTTTATATATTAAATTATCAAAAACAAAATATATAATCAACCTTATGAACACAAGAACCCAACAATACGCTCCAGTCCACGGATTGAACCCATTTTCAACTCAATCCACTCCTATAGGCCAGTTTGGGATCACTGTGTGTATTTTTTTGGGTGTTTATTTTCGTTTTTAATAATAATTATTATTATTATTTTTTTTTTTTGATGTTAGGGAATCAAAATAAATTTTTTAAGTTCATCTTAAAAATTAAATTAAAAAAGTAAGCCTTTTTTTTTTTTGACTTTTTTCTTTTCAAATTGTCTCTATTTTGTAAAAGTTTGTAGGATTGTCTAGTTTAATAGATCTAAAATGTTACTTGGTTCTAATTTTTTGAATTTAATTTTCTGAAAATTAAATTTTTTATCTTTCCTTTTTTTCGCTAATTTTTAAAAAAAATTTAAATATTTTTTTAGTTTTTAGATACATTTAATATAAATACAATTAAAAAGTATAATATTTGTGAATTTTTTTTAAAAAAAATCACTAAATACTAAAAATATAAAAAAAAAATACAAAAAGTCAATACATTTTCATATTCTTGTGTATTTATTAATTTTCTTACAAATATTTTACTTTTTATGTATATTTAGGTGAGGTGCATTTAAAAAGTTAAAAAAATTACTTAAAACATTAAGAAAATTCACTTTAAAAAAAGTACAAAAAATAAAAAAAAATTCAATTTTCAAAAAATTGGAACTAGATAAAAGTTTAACTATATATATTTTTTAATAAAAGAAATCATTAAAATAAAAACCCATTAACCCAGAAGAACAAGCAACTAAAAAGTTGAGCCAAAGGAAGTTGTAGTTCTGGGGAAATCCAAATTAAAGAGTTTGGATTAGGTATCTCTACCTCTCCTTCCACGCCTTCTTCCAAGCGTTCATTTTCTCCTTGTCTCCTCCGTCTAGCCATTTTAAATGGGTCCCACCGGGCGTGCCAAAAATATATGTTGGCGTTTTGGCTTTCGAAGGTTATTTTTGTAATTATGAGCGTGCCAGCAAGGATCAATCAGTCCTTACAGAATTTTGATTGCCAACCAATTATCAGACGATTGTGTTGTAGTTCTTTCAGCCTCAATGAAGAGGACTTTTACTGGTGGCTTGATTTAGGAGAATTTAAGCACAAGAACAGTTAAATAAAGAGCAATTGAAGCATTTCATTAGTGTGAAAAACTTACAATGATCCAAACTCAGCCTCGTAGAGGTTTACAGCGACAATCTACTTGAAACTACTCCTATGAATGAAATGCAGTGCAGGAATTTAAAGTACAGGAATGTAAAGAACAGGAAATATAAAAACTGGAACGAAATATGTAAAGTAAGACTGGTTTCTTAGATCTGAGTCTGGGGCTTTTTTCTGAGGTCTTCCCTGCTATTTATACTCCTCAAAGATAACCATCGAACTGCACTTCAAACTGTCGAACTGCTCCTCCGTGATCACTGATCATGCTGCCTTACAAGTAGTTCCACTACGCCATCACTTGCAGTTAAGCTTCCCTCCTATATTTAAATTTGAATGTGAGTAACTGTTGAAGTCACGTCACTTTGCATCTCTTTGTTGATCCAATGTTACTCAGACCACGCAATGGACAATATCAATTGTCACGTGTACGATCAAGATCGAAGACTTGAACAGTCTTCCTATATTACCCTTACTCTGCCACGCGTCGAACTGTAATTGGTCTTTTACAAAATATGTAGTCAACATTGCCCCCTGCACATATGTACTCAATACTTGGTGATATTAGTGGATCAAAGCCTTTCTCCCGCGCTTCTTAGAACGTGCATGGGGTCTAGATTCTGGAAACACAACCGTTACTTATTGATGATCATTTGCATTAATTCTCTTTCAATCTTTTGAATACCCTAATACTTTAGCATTCGTACAGGCTGATACTTCTTCTATGGCCAAATCAACTTTCTTCTCTATTGATCGGGCACATGAAGAGTCATTGAATAATGCTGCTTCCCCTCGAAAGAACCTCCACGCATTCATTAGTCACCTTTATCCACCCTTCTATATTCAAGTTATGGAAGCCTTTGCAAATTACCAACCTTTGGATTACGAACATATTGCCCTTAATCCTTCGATTCAGAAAGTTGCAGCTATAGACACAAGAAGTTCTCCCTCTAACTCACCCTTACAGTTCGAACAAACTGCTCTCAAACCTTTGATTCGGAAAGTTGCAAATATGGACTTGGGAAACTCTTCTTCACAAGCCTCTGTATGGGATAAGGCTGCAACGTCTTCCTCTTCTGGGGGTTCTGATTGGACAAGCTGGTCAACACCTGAGACTTGTGATTTGAGGGAGCGAATTAACCATCATTTTGTTGAGTTCACTGACCCTTTAGAGTTTCCTTCCTATGCTCGAAGTTTAGTGGTCTACCCCTACGTGCCTATTGACCATCGACGTAGTTTGGAGGAGAATCTGCTTATAGCATGGTACACATCCTCCATGCCTACAATGATAGTGCACGCCACCCGACGCCTAGAAGAAGCACAAGGGTACAACCCATCATTCTTAGCCCAGAAGGCGAAGATTTGTTCTTCTGACTGGCTTGATTATATTAATGCCTTTGTTCCTTCTGCTCCCGCGCCATCTCCCATAATAGAAGTATCCACACCTTCTTCTCCATCTCCTGAAATTGAAGCATTCACACCTTCTCCTCTACCAACTCTTTGCTGGATAGAGAGACTGAAGCTTGCCCTTTCCATGGATAACGTCTTTCCACCTTATAAACCTCTACCCTCCCTACTCCAGCTGAGCGGAAACAAGCTCAACTTCTGCTTGCAGCTTTCTTCCACTTGCCCTTCAATGTTCTTGAGGACGAAGTCCCTCTCAAGAATCTTCAATGGGCTTGTGATATTCTGACTAAGGGCCATGTCCTTAATCCCCTTGCCCAAGCAGAACTTCATATGTTCCTGGACCAACTTCCATTGCTCCTCTATTTGCATCGAAATTCTATGGCCACTACACAATCTTTAGACCAACTTTCGTCTCTTCGAGTTCATGCCCAGTACGAAGCAGAGAACTTCATTGAAGAATTCAGTGATTTCAAGAATAAAGATTCTGCGTGTTGGGATGACTTGGACATAGACGAATTGGAACAAGGATTGAGAGAGGTGGCTTTCGAAATAAAGGCTGAAGAGCTCTACTACGAAGTGAGAGCACATCAACTCATGCAGCCAATGTTAGAAGACATAGAAGATAGAATAAAGAAAGAACAAAAATTCATTGATCATTGTTGGACTAAATTTCATGATCTTGTTATTTATTCCATTCCTTATTTTTATGAGCTTGAGTTTATACCCAAATAGGGTCATCCGACGTAATTGCTTTGGCTTTAATATAAACAAAATTTTTCTTCATTTGGCATTGTTTGACCCTGCTTCCATTTGTCTTTTAAAGCCAATTTAGAGCTTCGATCTAAACAATCTCATCCTTCGAACCTGGACTCAATTATTTTAAATGAAACACTAAAAGAACCAATTATGAACTTTTTCAATTTATGGAATAAAGTTGGCAGTTTTGGCTGATTTTCAATTATAACCAGTGCTTCGGATCTAGCAATCTTATACTTAAAGTTTGTTTCAACCATAACCAACACCTGATCATGGTTATTATGATCAATTAGTTTTAAATTGACCACATTTTGCTTCGAACAACAGTTCATGCTGTTTTAGTTCAATAGACAGCCCTCTTTTTTTTCCTTTTTTTTTTTTCTCTATATAAACCAACCATTGGTTTTGATGTTTCGAACACCAAATCCCATTCTTAAAGAATCTCAAGTTTTGCCTCAAAGGACATTACCTTCGTTTAAGAAACCAAAAAACAGGTCTTTAAACTCTTTGGAGTAAAACAAACACTCGAGTATTCTTATATTTTTAGGTATGAAAATGTGCTTCGAAGCCGGCTTCTCTGTTTCGAAGTCGTTGTTTTTTTGGCTTTTGGCGTTAAAACTTAGCTTTGAAGCCAAATATCTTACTTCGAAGCTAGCCTCAGCATCTGGGCTGTGTTTTCTCTCCAAAAGTATCAATATTGAAAGAAGCTCTTCGTATTCATACTTCTAGTACTTAACGACTTACGCAATATATTTTCCAGACACAAAAGCTTTAAAAACCCTTTTGTTTCGTGCTCTGAAATCAGTTGCTCTTTTAACGCACAAACCCTTCTTTCTACCAATCTTCTGCTTCTCTCTACTTCCTTTCTCAGCTTCACTTTCTGGAAAAGCGTACTATCAATGGCTTCTTCTTCAGTGCCAGTCGTAGAGCGTGCAAGCCCATCTATA